CATCCCCACTTCCCCACTCCCCCTCATCAAAATCTCCGCAACCCTCTCCGGCTGACTCACAAACGGACTATGCCCCGCCTCCAGCCTCTCCACGCGCGCGAGACTCCCCGGCGCTAGCTCCTGCGCCCTCGCTACCATGGCTTCTTGGGCGGTGAGCGGGATGGCGTTATCGAGCTGAGGGGAGGGGAGTTAGTATAAGTAGGTAAGTATACGTATTATATATATATATGTGTGTGTGTTATGTTGATCTTGTTTAATTAATCAATTAACCAAGCGTGGCATTTTGCTTGAGCGCTTGCTTGCTTGCTTGTTTATCTGGGAATTGTAAGAAGGAAGGGGTAGGTAAGGAGTAGATCAACCTAGTTATCCATCCATCCATCTAGACATATATCGGAAAACAGGCGGCAAAACAAAACAAAACAAAATATCTCACTCACAGTACAAAGCACATACGTCCACGCCACCTCCCTCCACGGCTCACACGTAACCTTACTAAGCAGCGCCCGATACGCATGCGGTCTCAACGCCGCCACCAGCTCCTCTGCAAGCGCAGCTTCCACATCGTTGTAGAATATCTCCCGTGGGTTTACTACCTTGACTTGCGTCCCGGAGCTGCTGACAATCTGCCAGGGGGCGGGCCCGTTGTCGAGCGCGTTGAATAGGGACGAGGGCACGGGGAGGATGAAGGCTGTGAGGTAGAAGAGGTGGATGATTTCCCCGTGGGTGGGGGAGCGGGTGAGGTGGGTTGATACTGGGGAGGAGGAGTGTTGTTAGCTTTGTGTGGAATTATATTCCTAGATGGTTTAAAGAAACGATGGAAAGATAGATAGATATCCATCAATCTATCTCTCTCCTACTTACGCGCTTCAGACCCCGGAACCCCACCATAAGAATGAAACACCATAATCAAATCTCTCCCCGCCGACAGCACGTCGTGGATCTTCGCTGCGATGATCTCGACATCTGGAATGAAGGATTCGACATCTACATCACAAGTCATTAATCACCTGCTCGTAGGTACCCGTCCCAATCTCTCTCAGTCATCAGATATAATGAAATTAAATAGAATAGACTAGATAGCCTCGCTGTAGCTTGTAAGGTATTAAGAAAGATGAAGAGGACAATAAAAGAAGACTCACAAGCCGGCCCTTTAACCGACGCGAGTTCAATCCCATGAACAACATACCCCTCTGCCTCAAGCAACGCCGTCGTAGGAGCGAAACAAGACGGGGAATGCCATGCGCCAGGTACGAGTATGAATTCCGGCTTAGCTTTAGTTTTATCTTTGGCGGCCGCGAAGTCGGTGATAGTGGTAGTGGTAGTGGTGGTGGTGGTAGAAGACATACTCGCGCTTCCTTTCCTTTGCTTTCCTATCTTGCCAAGCTACCTATTGACTTCAAGTATTCACTCGTACTGTACAATAGAAGTCAAGAATTAAAAAAATAACCTTTGAGTGGGAGAGAGATAGATGACCTTCCGAGTGAATAGTAGAGAGAGAGAAAGCAAGCAAGCAGAGGAAACGAAACGAAACCAAAGGAAACAAACGACAAAGAGGGACACCCTATGATGTGCTGTGCTGTACTTGCAGCATACCAAGCATTGCATTGATCCAAGCTGCCCCCTCTCTGCTTTCGCAAAAGTGGAGGGATACTAGGGGAGTAGGTACTAGGTGGAGAGAGTAAGGTAGTAGTGGTGGGTATAAATGACGGGGATAGGTGCATACCTACTCTATATAGTGGGCCGACAAATACCTCCCTACAGACCAATCCGTATGTATGCAGAAGTATGTCTGTCCGTTTCGCCAATTAACCCACCAGTGACTGTCGTTTATCTGTCTACAAGAAAGTAAAGTACAAGTTCCTTCCTACGTAATGGAACGGTAACCAAACAATCCAATTCGAGCCTGCCTTCGTTCCTTCCTTCGCCGTGCGCCTTGTAATGCTCCGCTCCGCTCCGCTCACCCATCCAACCATCATTAGCTAACGGTAGTCTCGGAAACGTTTGTCGTCTTAATCGTCTTCGTCGGCGGCTCTTCATCTTCCCTACTATATTCGCCCCCAACACGTTCAGGGGTGTATTTTTCTTCCCACATCTTCCGCAGCACCTCGTACAAGAACACATACTGTTCATACGCCTGCACCATCGTCTTCCTCTGCTCGCGCAACTGATTGACCGAATCAAACACAGGATCCCGATTCGCATTCGCCTGGTCCCAGTCCTCCCACGCACCGCTCTGCAGTTCACCAACCAAGAATTCCAGCGCGACGAAGGTGCCTGTGCGGCCAACGCCAGCGCTGCAGTGCACGAGACGGGCATTCTGACCATTGCTGTTCGCTTCTCTCGTTACAGTCATCAGCGCGAGAATGCTTGCGACATTTTCTTCGGCCACCGAGCCGAAATCTGGCCAGTTCGGGTAGAGGTAGTGGAGGATTGGCTTTTCTTCATCCTCGCCCTCGACCGTCATTATGAATTTGCGGACCTCGATGGCCGTACCGGCAATCTCTGGTTCTCTCGATGCGAACTTGACAGTCCCGTGGAAGTCCTCTCCAAGTACGCCTTTTGTGTTGAGTTCAAGAGGTGGGGAGTTTTCATCCTCGGGGTAGTACTTGTAGCATTTCTCCATGAACCTGTTGGGGTTATCCGGAGTTGGCGCGTGCGTGGGACTTAGCATGATGATGACAGCTGGGGTAGAGTTGGATGGCTGTCTGAATTCATCCCATACCATACGCCACACATGATCAACGGTTGATTTTTTAGGACCTTGCATACATATGTAGTTGTCTACAACTCCGTCTTTGGGCGTGCTTTGTGTTGTAGCAGTAGATTTCAAAGTGATGGGTGAGGCATTGATGTAGTCGTTGTACCCTTCCGGGACATGGAGGCGGATGCGGTTTTTGGCCCAAGGAAAGATGTTGGTGTAGCGATCTAGAACAGGATCGGGGTGGAGATATGCAAACTGCTCATCTTCTCCAGCTTGGCCCCTTGTAATCCGCTCAGCCTCAAGTCGATTAAGCTCAGCCCACTTTTTAAAGATTTCTTTGCACGTGTCAATACATCTTTGAATAGTAGACTTGGCACAATTACTCACCTTCTTCTGTTAGTTGCAAGAATTTAGGCATTGCAGGGGCGCTAGGAGGCACGTTTTCAGCCTTGGCCGTTTTGCCCAGGGACGATACATCCATCGGAGGAAATGAAGGGCTTTGAGGAGAAATGGCAATGGGAGAGTGGGCGCGCTTTGTAGAAGTACGAAGGTGCTCCATCCTGTTCAGCCAACCAGGCGATCTCGATCTTTTGCTTGGGGATTCTTCGGGCGTAGGGGACAATGACGGCGACGGTGACTCGTGGCGCCTCCTAAAGGCGCGTATTCGGTCCAGGTTTGCGAATGTGAGGCGGGATCCAGAAAATGAGGCGGAAAAGGGGGGATGATCTCGCCTGAATAATATGTAGATGGGACGGTATTTGAAAGTGGGCTGGATTGAACAGGGCTGAACGTAGGTAGAAAGCGGAGGAAGACGTGAAGATGGGATGATTTGCAGGCAAGCAAAAGCAAGCAAGCAATTTGTCGTAGCTCTTAATTATGTTGTCGAAGGTTCATAGGTATATGTTCAGATCTGGATGCTGCTCGTGATAGAGTAGTTTGTCTTCTCTTGCTTGTATGCACGATGCAATGTCATGCAATGCACACTGCAGCCAAGTGGAGTGGTGGAGAGACGCTTCCGAGTCAAGCGAAAAGAATGACGTGCATACTACTGTATACTGTATATGGCCACGGCTGTTGCAAAAGGGCGTGCGTACCGTATCGTATCGTTGAGGAAGGCTATGGTACATGTACTGCAAATCTATCTGCGACGAGATGAGAACCGCGAAGCCAAGAGCAAAGCAAGCGGAAGAGGAAGGCACTTAGTTCAGTACAGTGTGCGGGACAAACGGCAGAGAGCCGGCACCCCGACTAAAACTTCCGTCTATCTTTATCCCAACTACTTCTCTCGGCAGCACCACAATTCAACTTTCTTTTTAAATATAGTACACTCTCAATAATCCGAAAAGATGTACGAAAGGTAAGAGTTCTGGCCACAGCTCGTGGGCCCCCTAAGCGAAACCACCTCTAATTTTAACAATTTATAATAAATCCAATATTTTGTTTATTAATATAAAATTAAGAGGATATACTAATGAATAGTAGCTAGTCCACGTATAGTAATCACATCTTCTAATTTACAAGTCAGCCTTTCAGTATATGGCCGAAAGTCACGTGGATCCACCCGGTCCTATAGCTTCTAGATCTCCCTGCATAAAACTTCCTTAGAAGTAGGAATAAATGGAAGCTTCTTTAGTTCCTCTTTTATCCATCTCCAGACCTTCTCAATTATATTCAAATCAGGTGAAGAAGGCGGCCAGTCAAACCCTCTAATCTGGTGCTGAAGTTTAGCTAGTCTGGCATCCCCCTTATAGACCTTAGAACCGTCTTCCATGAAGATATACTCCGTACCAAGCTAGTCAAATAAAGGGAAAATAATAGGATGAAGCACCTAGTCCCGATATGCCCGTGAGTTAACCCCTCTAGCTCCTTCCTCCTTCTCTAGGAAGACTAATAGACTCTTATAGTCCCAGCCGATTGCGCCCCAAATCATAACCATTACTCTTCCTGACTAATAAGTCGACTTAATACAATCCGGACACCTCTTTTCATCTATCCTTCGTGTCACCTAGATCCGTCCATTCTTCCCAAGCTCAAAAGTGCATTCATCTGACCATATAACCTTCCTCCAGTCCCCCCCCCCTATGCAGGAGGCTGCATAGTCAGATGTCCCCCACCAACGGTGTTTATAAGCAAAAGAGAGCCTCTTCTTAGCTTGGGCCCGTGAGATAAAAGGCCTAGGACATGCTATACAGCGAAAGTAGCCAGCTTTACGCAGTTCCCGGCGAATTATACGTGGTAAAGCTTGTAAATTAAGGGCCCTCCGGACCTGCTTAAAGGTCATGCGCCGGGTGCTATAATTGCGGGCAATAAGGCGAAGAATTTGGCGTATATCTCTTGCAGTTAGAAGCTTCTTCTAATATTGCTTCCCTTTCCTAGTTGTACAGCTAGATTCAGCCTTACAAATCCGCTAGGCAGAGCTTTTAGGGACCCCTAGGTCTTGAAATATTTGTGACTAGGATTTTCCGTCCGCGCGTGCTTGGCGTACTCTAGCGCGCTTAGGAGTGCGCCAATTTTGACCAGATTCATGGATAGGAGAGGATAATAGGATATCTGTTGCCATTCTCAATTTTATAGAAAAAGAATTGGTGGTTGAATTGTTACAAATTTTAGAAGAAAGGGGTAGGAAATTGAGGTGGGGGCAATTTCGCTTAAGGGGGCCCACGAGCTGTGGCCAGAACTCTTACATATAGTGCATAGTATGATAAAGTACACGAAACTTTATAGGTTGTTTACTAGGAACGTAGCACCGAATTCGTATATATACATTGTCCGGAACTCGACACTGGTAGCTGCACTCCGATATCTTGAGTTTATTAGGTATCTTATCCATTTACAGTCATAGCATTAACCAAAGGCCATTCCAGCCATAAGGCCTTGGTTGTCGTGTCATGCATGCCATGCTCAAATCAGAATCATGCGCCATGCCCTTTTATAAACGCTCACAGAATCTACCAAAAGCAAATTAAGCCCTGCTCATCTCAGAACTCAGGCTCGGATAACCACTGCCCCCTTTAAACGTCACCGCACGACGTCAGTTTTCATTTAGAATTCCTGCTCTCTAGCTTTGAAAACCTCGAGATCCATTTCTCGAGCCTAGGCTAGGACATCTCCATGTTCATGACCTCCTCGCTGTCATCGTCATCATCCATATTTATATCTTCATCCGCAGTCTGCGCGTGGGATAATTGCATTCCGACGGCCCAAGTAGAACGCCCTTGCTCACGAAAGATTGGTCGGCGAAGATGCGAGATTCCCGAGTAAGATGAAGAACTGTAATCGGAGTCTTCGTCAGAGCTGGATGAATCAGCGTAGTATCCCGTTGGGGCAGGTAATTCTGATGGTTCTAGTTTATGAAAATGCGTCGAGACAACCTCTATCTTCAATGGAAGTGTTTCCGTAGTATGCTCTTCTTCCGAATCTCGAAAAAGATCTAAGGACGCTCTTGGAATGTTGTGCTGAAATCTCCTTGTATGCGGACCAGTGGCGGAAAATCTTGATGATTTTGCCCGGGCCGTGCTCTCAAGCTTCGCCCGTCGCGTTTCCACTGTGACCGCGAAGTGATCCGCAGGTCGAGTGCCGCCAAGTCCACTAGCATTGAAAACCATCAGAGGGGTTGCGGTTGAAGGTTTGGGAGACGACCATTTCACACCCGGCTCAATAGCCAAGTTATCGGTACTATGTGACTTTTCACTGAGCTGATCCATGATGTCGCCAGAGTAGTCTTTGAAGGGTCGATACTGCATCAGAGATCCAGAGGGGGTTCGCAAAATGGCTGATCTACTTTTCCGAGACGAGCATCCCAGAGCGTCAAGGCTGTAGTCACCGTGCTTTCCAACACCAGTGACGTGTTGTAGAGTCGAAATGTTCCCACGATCACCTGACAAGTCCGTGAAGAATTTGGCTCCGTTGTAGAAAACGATTGGGCCCTCTTGTCGGCGTTGTTGACTAGACGATTCCGGCCGAGATATGTGGCTCCGAAGATGGGCTGACCGCGAGACGCGCCCCTCTCCTCCTAGGTTATAAGGTATGTTCGAGGGATCGTTGTCAGAAGAGTTCGAGTCATCTTTTGAGCTATGGTGATTAAAGAGGGGTCTGTAGTGCAAAGCGTTGGCGAGTGTAGACGCAGATTTCGATGAAGCTGGATCGTAAGCCTGAATAGGAGCTGAAGCAAACCGTCCTTGAGCAGACCTGCGTGTTTGGAATTCGTCTAACTTGCGTTTTTTCCTATTTGATTTTTCCAAACTGGCGCTGTCGTTGGGAGAGTGTATTCGTGAACTAGCATCGCCATCACTGCTAATATGAGATCCCTCTGTGCCTCCTCTCCATCTCATCTTCTGGCCGTCACGAGACAACTGAAACTTTGAACTAATATCCTTCACAGCAGCTCTAACAAAATCCGGAGTAACATTGATAATATGCAGCTGGGCTAAGCCGATTAGAAGATTCAAGTAGATCCAGCCCTGGGAATCTGCTTCAGCATCCGAGGAGTCCTCGCTCATCAACTGGGGTGCGGAAAAGCCGAGATGACGGATATACTCGATGTTATCGGCAGGGACTTGTGCTCGATCCGGATCCAAGTCTAACGGCCTGGTGGGACGTTGTTCAGGAGGTGCATTACTATCAACAATAGCTCCAAATGAGTGCCTGGAAGTGGAAGAATCATTGCTCCGCTCAGTGACGAAGTTGAGAGGTGTTGATTTGCCCACGTCAACCGGTTGTGGCTTGATGAGAGCCTCGCGAATTCCTTCAGTCGAAGCAAAAGGCTCGCGGCCTTCCTGTTCTGCCCTCAGCGCTGACTTTGACACCTCCTGCTGTTGCAAGGGTTGATTATGGTCTCCCAGAATCCCATTTACCTTTCCAGTAAAGAGCTGCTCAAGACGTCTCACGACCAGGATTTTCTTCTGCCTCTCAGTCATGGCCACGACGTGCCTCGGTAACAAACCTTCTGGTATATCATCTGAGAAAGAGTTGATATTTTGCTTTTCGGCGATTTTTGACTGTGGCTCTGATGTTCTAACCTTTAATCCAGAGACAGAAGTTGGCCCAGAGGCGGGCATAGAAGCATAAGCCGAGTCAACAGGACGAGAATTTGAGATCGATGATATTGAAGTATTGATTTGTACAGGTTCGGATCCAGACGCAAGAAGATGGGAATGGTATGAGCTACTAGTACCCTTCGAAGCTTCTTTGGAGTCGGTGCTTATGCCATCATCCGAGTAACTGGAGTTCGAAGCAAATATTCGGAGCAAGTCCTCTAGCTCCTGTCTCTTTTTCGATGGCAATGCATGGATTTTGACCTCGAACAACTTATCCTTCTCTAAATGAGGACTATCGGAAGTCTCATACCTTCGGAGCCTTTCCTTGAGTAGCTTGTTCTGCACTGTGAGATCGTCTATCACGCTCCTATAACTATCCGAGCCACTGCCATTGGTGCCCGCAATGAAACCCGCAAAGGGTCGGAGGGGAGGGTTACTGTCATGTGTATGATCGTGCGGATTTTCTTTTCCTGTCTCTGCGGAACTGCCATGTGGGAGGTAATATGGGGATTCGTCTGGTAGAACAGAAGTTGTCAGCGATGGCGCCTCATCGAGCGCCAACTTATCTCATAATATGCTTACCATCTTGGAAGGTTGTTCTGGTTCCAGCCTGTGGGCGCTTGTTCGAATAGTCAAACCATTTCTCAACAGTCATGCCCGCGGACCCCACCGAATGATTGCTATGGTCCGACGCTTCTATGGCTGTAGGCGGCGGCATAGAGCATGTATCGTAGTCTTCCTGCGATCTCTGGCTATCCTTCACCTTGGTGTTATATGTAAGTCAGAGTCGACTGCGTGAGACTTTGCATATATGTCTTGAAATGCAGACACTACCGCGATGACTGCGCTGACACTTCTTTTGGTGCTTGTATTGTGAAGAAAGCGCTGCTAGTGTAAAAGCCGAGTGAGGCTGAAGTTGAGAGTGTTTAACAATGTAAAAGTGTTTCAAGAGGTACTTGGGCAGTACAGAAGCAGAACAAGATGGAGATGCTGATGAGGGAATGGAAGATATAGGATATCTGCTCAAGGAATGCGGAGGTTGCTCCTGAGCTGCTGTGGTACGTGCTGGCACTGTTCTATTTGGGTTACCCTATAGTGAAAAGTAAAAGAAAGAGAAAGAAGCACGCACGCACGCACGACCTACGCTTTCATGAGTGAGTTTGAGTTGATGCTCGTACAGGGACAGAAAGGGAGGTCGTCCCCATCATGGTCATGATCATAGTCATGGCACACGGCGATCGAGCAAAGCAATGCTGAATCGGATGAATCTCAAGCGTTGGGCCTAGCCTCCGTCTATTGAATTTAACTCTTTGCTAGCTCTCCTGACTCTTTAGTCTCGCCCGTTTTGTGAGGAAGCTGCGATGTTGAGGGCATCACATGGGTCGTCATGATCGGACGCTAAATCGAACTCCTACTCGCCTATGCAAGGCTACGAATATCCACATGAAACACGCCATGTTGTTGGTGACCGATGTCAGCCTCGCATGGGTATGACGAGCAGGCCATCTAAGGGGCTCTGGCCTATCATTGGCTGACCAAGTTATCTCAGCCAATGATTACTCACTGGATGATATCCACCAGAGAGTAGGGACCGGCAGGAGCGGTGCTCTACAGTACTGTGCGCGATCGACCGATGGGGGAAAAGGCGATCGGCGATGCTATCTCCGTACAGTATGCAAATCACAAGGCTATACTATATCATATGATGTTGAAAACACCAAGGACAGACACAGAAGAGAGGATTATGATTATTGATCAAGGACATTTCTACTAACTGACTGATCGCACGACTCGTCTTTGCATAGAGACAACAAGCTCAGGCTACATACTCCGTACTGTACATGTACCTCACCTCCGTAAGAGAATCATCGGAGCCTCTCCCAACACAGCATAAAACCGGCAATCCCGTTTTTGTTGCACCTAGCAAAACTACCATCTCGATCTGATATCTGGGGAACTTCCCAAAGTAGAAGTAGTGCTCCGATGTCCACCATGGAGGATGGTACGGTCCTTGCATCTCTCTTTTTAAGGGTTGATACTGTACACTCATGTCGAGACATCTCAGCTCCAGATCCCGATACATATAAAACTCATGCCATGCCGTTATTGTCATGGCAGAAAGCTAATTCAACCGGTCCGGTCCGGTACATCTGATTTGGTCACGTGCGCCTGACAGTAGCCGATCGAAATGCCGGGGAGCATGAACTTTCGCGGGGAAATACGGGTGATTTGGGTGAATGTTCTCCCTGGATCCGGGGAAGCTTCGCTCTATATTCGTAACTTCAATCGCAAGCTGCGATGCTTTCTCTGTTTATTTATTTTATCTGAAGTTGGGTTTTTGTCAGTGTCGACCTGTACTTCTCCTTCTAGCAATGTCTTCCGCAGCACTTTGCTTTCGCTCGGCGAGAGCTTACACCAGGAATAGCACCAAGGTATGCAGAGAAGCTATGATTTGGACCTACCGAGGTTCCGGGATTGAAGAATCAATTGCCCATTGAAAGCTGCAACTCAATATGTCCAACTGACAATATACAGCAATCAATTCTCCTCGCCCGCACATTTGCTTCGACAGCTCGACGCCATGAAATCAACAAAGTCTTCCCCTCGGCCTCGGAAGCCCTGAAGGACATGAAACCGAATACTACCCTCCTATGCGGTGGGTTCGGTCTCTGCGGAGTTCCCGACACCCTCATTGATGAAGTCCTCACCAAGAAAAACATCACTGGCATTACAGCCGTTTCCAACAATGCTGGCACAGACGAATCGGGATTAGGGAAGCTACTCAAGACGAAGCAGATCAGTAAAATGATTGCTAGTTACATTGGCGAGAACAAGACATTTGAGAGAATGTACCTCACTGGAGAAGTGGAACTGGAATTGACTCCCCAAGGAACATTGGCTGAGCGTTGTGCTTCTGGCGGAAAGGGAATACCTGCATTCTACACACCCGCAGCATTCGGCACAGTTGTCCAAACCGGGGAATTACCGCTGCGAAACAACGCAGATGGAACACCAAAGGAATTGTCATACCCCAAGGATGTCAAAGTTTTTGACGGCAAGCAATACTTGCTAGAAGAGAGCATCAAAGGCGACTACGCCTTTGTAAAGGCCTGGAAAGCAGACAAGCTTGGAAACTGCCAATTCCGCCTAGCCGCCAACAACTTCAACGGAGCCATGGGCCGAAACGCCAAAGTGACCATTGTCGAAGCCGAAGAGATCGTCGAGCCTGGCGGAATTGCCCCAGAAGCTGTACACCTACCAGGAATCTACGTCAAGCGCGTAATCCAATCCACCACTGCCAAGAACATTGAGAAATTCACATTCGCTAAGGATCCAAATGACCCATCTGCCAAAGCGGCGCTGGGAAGTGGAGAGACCGCTGCGAAGAGGGAGAGGATTGTCAGGAGAGCTGCGAAGGAATTCAAGAATGGCATGTACGCCAATCTAGGTATCGGCATGCCAATGCTGGCTCCTTCATTCGTCGGCCCAGAAGTCGAGGTACAGCTACAATCCGAGAACGGTATTCTCGGCCTAGGGCCATACCCAGTGAAGGGCAAAGAGGACCCTGATCTCATCAACGCCGGTAAAGAGACCGTGACACTCAATCCTGGAGCTGCCGTCTTCGGATCTGAAGAGAGTTTCGGCATGATCAGAAGTGGTCGTGTTGATCTTACTATCCTCGGTGCTATGCAAGTCAGTGGAAACGGTGACTTGGCTAACTGGATGTTGCCTGGTAAGGTAAAGGGATTTGGTGGCGCTATGGATCTTGTGTCGAACCCTAGCAAGACCAAGGTCGTGGTTACAATGGAACATACGGATAAGAAGGGGAATGCGAAGATTTTGAAGCAGTGTGCTTTCCCACTGACGGGTAAGGCTTGTGTGTCGATGATTATTACGGAATTGGTAAGTTTTAAATTCAAGCTGCAGAGATCAGGGGCTAATAAGTGTTCAGGGTGTCTTTGAGGTGGACTTTGCTACGGGTCTGACATTGACTGAGATTGCCGACGGAGTGACGGTGGAGGAGATCAAGAGCAAGACAGAAGCTCCTTTCAAGGTGGCGGATGATTTGAAGCCTATGCTGTAAATACACCATAGCACTTGTTTTGAAAACAGGGAGTTTAGCATGTTGGATTTGTATTTAGAAAAGGTACAAGTTTGTTATATAGTCTATCAAATACCTACTCAAAACCAGCGGAATTCCGACACCGCCCCACTATCTTCATCCTAATGGCGGGGTAGATCACGTGCGAATGCGGGGCATTCATCATCTGATCACTTCCGAGCAGCCTCAATTGCATCATCATTATCATCATCCGGCCATATACTCACAACCCTTTCTCCCTACTCTGTAATAACACCTCTCTCCCATTCTTGCCCCTTTCCCTTCAACCACCAATCCACCAAACCAAACCATGACACCCCCCCCAAACATTCCCCCTCTTCCCTCACCTCCCCACCGAGCTCCGCCTCAAAATCTACACCCACATCCTACACCACCCGTCCACAACCCCGCGCATCCTAAAAATCTCCCCCTTCATAACTGCCACGATTTCCAACACGCCGCCCCCGATAACCCTGTCTATCTGCGCGGAATCAAGGGAGTTGACCTTGGGCTGTTATTCGTACCTAGAACTTGGTAGTAGTCAGGTGAGAGGGAAAGGGCCGCTGATACCGGTGAATTGGGAAGAGCAGACGTTGTATATCTCGAATCTAACGCCTTTGTGTACGTAGAACCCCTATTTCTTCCTTTTTCCTTTCTTCCTTTCGTTTCCCCCGAAATGAAAACAGCACCTCTAGTTAAACCGGCATCGATTGATATTAATACATGCATGGGATCCAGTACTCTCCCCCTCCCTCCTCCAAACCTTCCTCTACGACTTCTCCACCAGTCCCTCCCGCCACGCCATCCAGCGCCTGGCAATCGACCTCCGCGTCTGGCACGAGCTAGCCGACCACGGGTTCCTAGGGATTCTGGCGCGGCTGAGAGGGCTGCGGGAGGTGAAGCTTGTGGTGGAGTTTGGGAGGGCTTTTGAGGGACAGTTGGGGTTTCTGGGGGCGCCCGAGTGGAGGGGGGATCTGAGGTGGTTGGCGAGGAGGGCGGGGGGTGAGGTTAATGGTGGGGTTGGAGGGAGGAGTGTGGATGGGGATGGGGAGAGAGGGAGAGGGGTTGAGGTGGAATGTGTTATTTTGACCAGGGGTGGTGAGCATGCTTAAAGGCTGGGGTTTTTGGATTGGGACGACAGGGATGGTTGGGGTATGGTCATCACAGTACGCACATCTTGGTTTCAAGATCATACCTCTCTTCCATAAGACTGATATGTTCAGTGAGACTTTCACATCTCAAAGACCTCCGCCATCACAATTCACCAGCATCATTACTGGACCCACCACTGCAATCCCAGACAGTGCGTGTATCAAGGCTTCTTATCTCTCTACTGCCACATATACTGACCTGAATTGTATTGCTACCTTGTACCCCACGTTCCTTTCGATGCCAGCATCGAAAAGTAAGCGGCACTTGTGGTTCGAACGGTTCTTGTAGAATGGTCTTGGGGTCGTTCTTCACTAGAAATCAGAGGGATGATAGCGTGCAGAGTTTGTAGGATGGATGGATAAATGTATGTATGTGCAATTAAGGGAAGCCTAGCTATCTTATTAAGAAGCTATATCTGACTGCTTGGTGTGCTAATCTATGAAGAGCGTCGAATTGAAATCTGTGCATGCTACTTACGAGCCAGTCCTTTGTCGAACCAGCCACTTGCCACTTGGCTGCGTTGTTCGTTCTGGTGACTCTATGAATAACTCTACTCTTCTAGTATGGAAGATACCGGATGAATCTTGTGAAGAATGTATTCAATGCAATGATACCCTAAACCATACTCCAAACACCGACCATGATTTGCTAACCAGAAAAAACTGTACTCCTGACACTCCGACCATGATACTCCAAGCCCCATATTATCTACACAAGAAGAGCGGCAATCCCCTCATAAGCCCTCTCTACAGTCCGGGCCCCCATCCCAGGCATCCCTATCAGCTGCTGCAAATCTGTGATCGTGCCTCCATCTTCTTCATCCTGCAGTGCCAAAAATTCAATCAAGTCCCTCGCTTTCTTTCCTCCGATGCCACTGAGTCCTTTGATAAGTGCTACGTCTCGAGAATTTATGGTATCGAGGAGATGCCGTGTGCGAGGTGTTTGCGGTGGGTTTGAATTAGTGTTGGCATCGTCGGCGAAAACGTGAAGTGTGGATTTAGCTGTAGATTTGGACTTGTGCTTCTTGGGCTTCGCTGTTGTCCTGTAGGAAAAGCTATCGTCGTCTTCGTAGCCTCCTCCTATCATAAGCGCCGAGCCGTTGTATTCATCATCGGATTCCTCTGTATTTGTTTTCCTTCTCTTGGCCTGGGGTTGAGGTTGAGGTTCAGGTTTATGTTGAGGTTCAAATTGAGGTTGGGAGATTTCGAACGATGCAGCAGGAGTAGGCAGTTGTGCAACTACAGAGATAGGTGCTGTTGCAATCCCGCCCCGCTTTGGAACTACTACTGGGACTGGTGCCCTAGATGCTGCCTCTGCGTCCCTCTTTGCTGTAATTTTTGCCTTTAGGCCGTCGATCTTCTTCCGTAGCTTTTCTTGACCGGGGAAGAACGGTACAGCCATCCCATACATCTTCAATGCACTGAAGTCCTCCCCTCTTTCCTTGTGCTGCTTCGCCATCAGAAGAAATCGTAACCCTTCTGCCCTTTCATCTTCCGCGTCACCATCCTCTATCTTTTTCTCCAACGCTTCAAGGCGTCGCTGAACTGCCTCACTGATCTCGGATGGGGGATTGGCGGTCGGTTGGTTGAGAGCACGGGTTGCCAGGGCCTCCGATACCTTGCGCTCAATCATTTCTTCAATCTTGGACGCTGATAATTCAGACGCGGATTTTGGACCTGACACAGTGGGTCGGACAATCTTGGTAGGACGAGAGTTAGTCGACGAGTCCGAGGTTCTTTTCTTGGCTGGCCGGGCTGGATGAGTAGGTGGATTTGACGATCGTGGAGCTGATTTTCCCTTGTCCGTGTACACCGAGAATGCTTTTGCGGGTTTATCCCCCGCTTTTTGAGCAACATTAGTGACATGAGTATTATGAGCATTCGCCAATGGTCGTAATGGCTGTCGAGAGATATTATTTCCAGTGATAGCTGATGCCTTTCTTGGCGGTTGTGTGAATACTACCTCGTTCTCAATCTCTCTGACTTCTATCCGCTTTGCCCTTGAGCTGACGTTGAGACTTGAGAGAGTGTCTAAGTGATATGATCGCAATGGCGCTAAGTTTAATATCATAATCGTAATTCCGTTATTCTGACCCAGGCTCAGAATCCGGGTCATTTTGGATTCCCGGTAAGGAATTCGTTTGTCCCCACGCCCGATGGCATCAACACACTGACTTAACACGAATAGAGATTTGTTGATGCTCGCGGATTCGACCATCCTCTCCTTGTTATTCTCTGTCCTTCGGTTGTCTTCCGAACCAGCCAGATCAATCGCAGATGCCGTGCTTATTAGCGTTTCGGCTCCGTTGATCTGCGTAACCTTAACCATCAGGATCGCATGACTCCTACTGCTTTGCGCGTTCAATTTCGTGCCCGCTGTGCTGCGATTGTTGTTCGCCTCGATATACAACCTTTCAAAGTCCTTTAGATCGTCACATTCCCGTTCGGACAAGCCAACTACGATCGTCTTTCCATCTTTCTCGCGAAGTGGCAGCCCTGCCAAAGAACGTCTGTCGGGCGACTCGAATAGGTCATAGACCTTGTCGTTGTAGATTTCGTAGTACGAGAGGGTAACGGAGACAGACGTCTCTCCGCCAGAATCCTTGGTGACCTTCTTTCCTCTCCGGTAGATGCCACTTAGCAAACGTGGAATAACTCCTCTCTCTGCCAGCTTCATGCCACCTCTCATTGTATGCGTCTTTCCCGTACCTGTAACGCCATATGCAAAAATCGTAGTATCGAGGCCTTGGAATAAAGACTTAAGAGTCGGCGCGACTTGTTTAGATCAGCTTATGTACTCAAATCGAGTTGTCGGTCGGTTCCTACTTTCTTTGTTGAATAGTTCCTCCTGGGTAGTCTCCAAATCATAAACGCCGTTGAACGCGAAACTAAACATCTCCGCCTCGTTCCTGGGATTCGGTATCCGTACAACATTCGTAGGCTTGTCGTCCTGACTGGATTCGGCGCGCACAATTATATCCCTGTCTAATTCTTTGTCCAGCAAAGGGCGGATTCTTGCTACCACTGTGGTACTGTCAGCGGTGAAAGGGTAATGTTTTGGTGATGGATTTGCTTACCTCGAACAGACATGACTACGATGGCAATTGGGAAATAGAATGAGTGTGATAAAGACCAATGAAAGGTGCAAATTCAATAATCGCAAGACGTAGAGCCACTTGTACTCTGTCTGAAAGTTCCCTGCTCTGTTATCGACCTCGAATATTGCTTGGGATCGAGGTTGAATGGTGAGTGGGTCCAAATTACAGCGCGTTCTGGTTGCCATCCTAGCAACGAAGTAATGTTGATTAAAGCACGTGATAAACCAACCCCTGGCACTGAGGCTGGCAGTAAGGCCGTTCGTATGGGTACGGTTGACGACTGTTTTCCCAGTGTTCGTAACGTTCTTAGGTTCTCTCAGTTCAATTGACTCGGACGTTGTGTTCATTCATATAGATTACTTCGTTCGCTAATAGTTGTGTATAAGAGAGGGGTATCTAAAGTGATCTGCTATATAGTATGGCGCATCCATACTCTCTATAATTGTACATGCAACGCTATAATCCGGGCTATGCTTTTTCATCCATGCTCCATCAATCATGCTACCATCTTAAATGACCTTCAACTTGAAACCACATTGCACCCATCGACTAGCCACGAACACAATTGTTCCCGCAACCATTGTTACACCACAGAATATCTGCAGATAACGGAATTCCCCATTGTCTTGGCTGAGCAGAGCGCCGCCGATGGGGCTGCCGGTCAAGCCTGCGAAAGCGACGCAGAGGAAGAACGTCCCAGTACGAACGCCTATTTCTCGAATCGGTGAGATCTGCGCGACGAGCGAGGGAGACAGAGAGACGAATGCCCCAGACGAGAATCCGTAAAGCGCGGAGAACACAAGGATAGGTGCATTGCTTGACGACGGAAGCCAGAGACCCAGCACGATGATGGCAGAAAATGCCGAAGTGATAATCATGACGTTGAAGCGGCCGACACGATCTGCAATGATTCCTGGAAGGATTCGTCCAAAGATACTGGCACCGTTCAAAACAGCCAGTAGGTAGTTGGAGAGATTTGTTGACATTCCATTCTTTTGAGCTCTGACGGGTGGGATTAACATAGCATCATCTGGATTCGATGGAGGACTTACTGAAGAATGACGAAATTAAAAGGCAAGAAGGTGCCGAAGAAGAACATGAATGCCGCCACGCAAATCAGAGCGAAAGCGGGTTCTCTCAAGGGGCGAACAAACTCCAGCAGGATGAGGGGCTTTGGTTTTGGGGTCAGGCGAGCTTTCACAGCGAGGTTGGCTATAATCAGCATGCCCATGATCATAAAGGCGGCTGCTCTCATTGTCCACGGGAAACCAATTCGCGGGATAAGTTTTGTGACCATTATGGGAAATATCACTCCCCCAAGGGAAGAGCCGGATGCCATGATTCCAAAGGCTGCTGCGCGGTTCTTAAAGAACCACTGACCAACACAAGTCATTGCGGGATAGAAGACGGCGCTGGCACCTAGAGCGCTAACGACACCCTGTGCCAGAAAGAATTGATAGTACTGGGTTGAAAGTGAAGTCATCATTAGACCAAAGACGTGGAAAAAGGAGCCAATGAGGAGCAGATAGCGAGGGCCGTAGTTGTCGAATACCTTGCCAAATACTGGACCACCAAGAAACATCATGAACACTTCCATAGAGGGAATCCAAGAAACAGTACTGGACGAGTACTGGCTAAGCGGATGTGTTTGATAGTAGTCCTGGAAAACGCCTATACAGTTTATCCATCCTGTGACAAGTTAGCATAGACTTTTAAGAGACTTTTCAGAGGTATGAAGGAGCAGGCGAAACAAAAGGCAGAATTTGACGGACCAAAGGAGCAGAATAAGCAGAGCCATCCACCTAGAACCACCAGCCATGCTTCGAAGCCTCCATCTGGAAAATCGGCTGGGTTGACACCACCTGGAGCTGGCGTTGATTTGGGTGCTGCGCCGTTCTTCTCGAGGTCGGCCTCTGCCTCTGCCTCTCCTTCAGGGAATATGTTTGCTTCAGTCTCCTTATTTTGGCTTCCTGGTTCAAGATGAGGTGTTTGCTGTGTTCCATTTGGAGCAGGTTTATGATCACTTTCTCCCAAGCTTTGCTCGTCTCCGGTAGACGCGCTCCAATTTTCACGTTCTGGAGACATTGAATTGTAATTAGATATCGATAAGGGCGGAGTGAATCAAAAGTATTATATTCAAGAGAGAGTTTGCAACGTGCCGTCATCGACAAGAAGCAGTAAGAGAATAAAAGCTAACAAGATCTCACCGAAACTAGCTGAAGACGTAGGTAAGGGCAACCTTTGAACTTCCAAAGCAAATGCAAGCGCGGCCTTGCCCTTTATACAGTACCGCCATAAAGTAAAATTGCTTCAAAGTAAATACCGGTTCGTGAGTCAACGTGCAAAACCGATCCACCACATCCCCCGCATCCCCCATATCTCCATCATTTGGCGTCGGGTTCGCGCTTCGCTTCGCTGTTCTTCGGGGATAACTAAGGCCGACCACCAGGACCACGGAGGTAATGACGCTGGGATTATTGAGACCAATCAGAGACGACAACATTCCTTTAGGCTGCCTGCTCGCTCTATATTAAAGGCTTGATTCACTCTAGCGGCGGAAACTAACATTGAAAAGAGGATCTTCGCAGGGTCGAGCGTACTACAATTCTATCCATAGTAATAAAGCGAACTGTTTACTTGCTGGGTAGGCATAACAAGAGCAACTAGGACTGCATAGAACTCTACCGTTCTATGCATATAAGCTTACCTACTCGTAGTAGTGTGTAGTAGACGTGGATAAGCCGTATTACACCGTAGGAGTTGAAGAGCACACACTAATTATGACCGGTATATAGCTCCACTTTAACCGGGCATCAATACACAAGTAGCAGTCCACGAGCGTAAGCGTAAAAAGTGCAATTCAACCAACCTACCTCTCTAAAGCTTACAAATTCATAAATTGAAAATTGAGGCTTTTTCAAATCTAGTCTCAAAATCAATGTGTACCATTCAATTGGAGCATCAGATACGAATCCGTGTCCGAGTTCCGTGTCCGAACTCCGCCTTCAAGGGGCTTTCATCAAGAAGAGGCGTCAGCATTCTATTTATTGGCCATCTTCTGATCCCTGGTTCTCGGTCTATTTAGTGACTCAAGTCAAGACTGTACACTGTACAGTAAGATAATATATGTCTCGGTTTTCGGTCCATGGTGGTGAGAACGTCGGCTGAGAGGGCGGCCGAGAGAAGCTGGATGTCGAACTCACGTTACATAGCTGAGCCCCAACCTTCTGTCCAGGGTGTTCAAGTTTCACATAACTATGTTGGTACTTTGTCTTGGTTGGAAACTTTTGAGTATCCTTGAACCAAGTGTATATATAGATTTTGAATATTGCCTGTACTCTTGTCTTTGCTTATAGGCATATTTTGTTGTGACTTCATACTTGCTTAGATAAAGTAAAGTCGAACAGATACTTCTGCTTCGATTAATTGCTAATTGCCTGCTTCTTATCTTGTATACGTTCATATGAAGCTATTTATGAAAAGACAATCCGTTTCGTTTGAGGAATTGCAAAACCAGCCATCCGAAAGCATACTCAAGCGGCTCCACAATACGTATAATGCGAAAATTGAGGCATGGTATCATACTGTACATATCTCGAAGACTCATAGTACAAGCTCCTCCTACCGTACAAACGGCTTAACATCCTGCACGTCCTCAAATTTTACTTTACCATCTCTAGAAACCTCCACTGAATGAAATCCAGTTGGAACATCCGCCTGTTTCTTCGAGCTCACTTCCTCATTCGGCTTATTCGCCAACGTTACCGCAGACTGTACTGCCCCAGCTGGAGAGTCCGCAATCTCATTCACATCCCTTGCTGTCAACACATCGCTAATTCGTGACGCTCTCGAAGACATCAAAATAGTACTGGGACCATGAAACTGCAAGAACAGCCTGTCGCCCCATATTGTCCTTCTTGCCGCAGTCCTGAAATTGAACAGCAAATTCGTCACTGCCCTCCACGTATCCGTTTCCCTCATGACCCTAAAAAACTTAATACCCTGCAGGAACCTGTTGAGACCAAGGTCTGGTACTTGGAACCTCAGATTCGAAGACTTAAATCTGTACGGCAGAGGGGGGTTTTGCGTGACCGTATAAGCCACCACATTTCCAGGATGTGCAACATATTGCTCTCCAGCCTTCAACGTAACTTGATATATCTGCCCCGGACCAGCTAAAGCTACCAGCCCTCTGCCAGTAAGAAATGTGTTCCCCCAATGAGCTAGACCCATGCCTCTATTCGCAGTGGGAGAGACGGAAAGAGTATGTCCAGTCCAAGCCAGCAGTGCTTTTCGCTGCGTTATCATCCAATCCACAGTGCCATTAAGATGTAATACGGTGAAAGAAGTAAGGGGTGATTTTGTTGATATTAAAGCTGTGAGTGGACTTGAAGAGGAGATTCGTTGGTATAGGAAAGGAATGCCGAGAGCGGCTCGTCGAAAGGGTTTCAGTATAGAGAGGGTAGATTGTGCCTTGAAAACAATAAGCAAGAGATCTTCTTTGGAATTAAGCATACTGACATTCTCTGCTTTCCCACTGACTCCAACCAATGTGCCTCTTCTTGTATATAGCTGTTGTGACGCGGATAATGAAACAGACAAAAGAGAATATGGCGCGCCCAGAACCTCGAATCTGGCATCTGTACAGTTGTTAATCAGTGGATTTCCTCAAAGCTCTAACATGAATATAGCCTACCTGCCGGATCTGTATAGGTATCAATTGAGTTGCTGAGAACATCGCCGCTGTGTATGGGGGATTCTGTCGTCGGCGTTGCGCTGATTTGGATAGCTCGACGTCCAACAGCGCAACAAGGACGCCGAAGGTGTCGAGCGCCTCGAGCAACACTCCTCAACGGCAATTGACTGCGCATTGCTGTTTGGTGGGCTGAAAAACACGAGGTGGTGGAGGGATGATCTCGGTCTTACAATAAAAAGCAGACTACCTCCGTATGCGTGCAAATGCCGGACTCGCAAGTTTCGCGAATATCTGCAAGCTTATTACGCCATTATTAGCGAAACTACTTATATACCTAAAACCTCAACTAAACCTCAGATTCCTTTCTTTGATCGTTCGCTCCTGTATTCCTAGTGAGATTTCTTCATCTTTGCAAGTTTTGACCATCTCCAGGAAGGTATCTTGATCTTAATTCGGAACCTTGCCTTGTCTTGCCCCCACGATCCGCAGAAGCTCTTGGAGCTACCCCTCCAAGCTGTGCTGGGCACGAAAACGATGCGGGGAGCATAGTCCACGTCTCTGAGGCGATAACACATATACGGCAAGGGCGACGATGATTCTTCGGGGTATGGCAAGAGCTTCTTGCTTCAGTGCAAGAGCCTCACTCCGACCGCAGCCGTGGAGCGCATCCCGAGTTCGTTTCCGCGCTTTCACAAATACAAGCACGCTCTACAAAGATGATTCCCAACGAACTACTATTCAGAGCCAGGCTCTTAGACAGCCAAGGGCTGCAGACGATATACCGGGTACGAAACCAGAAACTGCTCGCAAGCCTGGGCCAGCGTCCCCGACCAATACCCGGAAAGACCCATTGGCTTTGGCGGACAAGACAAACCAAGAGCAGCGCAAGGCCGACTGGGCTATCATGAAGGAGATGGCACAATATCTATGGCCCAAGGACAGCCTGGGAACAAGATTCAGAGTTGGACTTGCTGTGGCCCTGTTACTTGGTGCTAAAATACTGAATGTGCAGGTGCCATTCTATTTCAAGAGTATTGTGGATTCTATGAATATCGACTTTGTAGCCGTGGGGGGCACTGCTACTACAGTCGCTGGTTCAATGATCTTGGCATATGGTCTCACCAGAATTGGGGCTACGCTCTTTCAGGAAGCTAGGAATGCTGTCTTTGCAAGTGTTGCCCAGAAGGCTATTCGACGTGTGGCTTGCAACGTCTTTGATCACTTGTTGCGGCTAGATCTGAATTTCCACCTTACCAAACAAACGGGTGGCTTGACAAGAGCTATCGATCGAGGAACCAAGGGCATCAGCTTCCTCCTCACATCTATGGTTTTTCACGTTCTGCCTACGGCGCTAGAGATCACCATGGTCTGTGGAATCCTAACTTACCAATACGGTGCCAAATTCGCGGCAATCACTAGCTTGACAATGGTTGCATATACAGCTTTCACAATATGGACAACAGCTTGGAGAACTAAGTTTCGAAGACAAGCCAACGCGGCAGACAACAAGGGGTCAACCGTTGCAGTTGACTCATTGATTAATTACGAAGCCGTCAAGTATTTCAACAATGAAAAGTACGAAGTTGGCAGATACGACCAAGCACTCAAAGCATATGAGAAATCTTCCATCAAGGTCGCTACTTCATTGGCCTTTCTAAATACGGGACAGAACTTGATATTTTCAAGTGCCCTAACAGCCATGATGTACCTTGCTGCAGATGGTGTAGCTACTGGAACTTTGACTGTTGGTGACCTAGTCATGGTCAACCAGCTCGTTTTCCAGCTCTCCCTCCCTCTCAACTTTCTGGGATCCGTATATCGCGAATTGCGACAGTCCCTTCTTGATATGGAGACCCTCTTTAGTCTTCAAAAGGTCAATGTGGCTATTAAGGAGGTTCCTAATGCCAAACCACTACAACTTACAAAGGGTGGCGAGATCAAATTCGAGAATGTAACCTTTGGATACCACGCGGATCGTCCAATCCTGAAGAACCTCAGCCTTACTATTCCTGCTGGCAAGAAGATCGCGGTTGTGGGACCTAGCGGATGTGGCAAGTCGACCATCCTGCGCCTCCTTTTCCGCTTCTACGATGTGCAGGAAGGTCGAATTCTCATTGATGACCAGGATATACGAGAAGTGAGCTTAGAGTCGTTGAGAAAGGCTATTGGTGTGGTTCCTCAGGATACTCCTCTGTTCAACGACACCATTGAGCACAACATCCGTTACGGTGACATGAATGCACCACCGGAGAAAGTCCTCGCAGCAGCACAAAGGGCTAAGATCCATGACATTGTGTCCGCATTCCCAGAAGGTTACAAAACTATGGTTGGAGAACGAGGTATGATGATCTCTGGTGGGGAGAAACAGCGGCTGGCCGTCTCGAGATTGATCTTGAAGGATCCTCCACTGCTATTTTTCGATGAGGCTACGTCAGCATTAGATACACACACTGAGCAAGCTCTCATGGCAAACATCAACAGCATCCTTAAAGAGAAGGCGAGGACTAGTGTATTTGTTGCACACCGATTGCGAACAATCTACGACAGCGACAAGATCATCGTACTAAAGGAGGGCCATGTTGCACAGAGTGGTACCCATCGGGAATTAATAGACACTGGTGGGGTATACTCCGAGCTTTGGAGTGGTACGTTAACCATTTTCGTGTTTCCATTAATCGCTAACAATCTTGTAGTACAAGAAACATTATTCGATGAGGAGGGGGAGGAACGTGAAGTTAACATTGAAGACGCTGATGTAGTCGAGGAGAGGCAAGATCGACCGACAACTTGATACCATGTTCTAGTAACAATGCAGCTCACTGATTGGCAATGTACGGAGTATGAGCAGTCGGCTAGGTTTCCTTTCTATTTGGGTGGATGGCTGAAACCCGGAACATGTACGACTTACCTGCATTACATCCTGCTTGATCATGCGTCCAAGCAAACAAGTGAAATTCTTACACATCTAGCAATAGAGCACTCGGAGACTTATGCACTCCAAGCAGTGTGAGTATGATTACGAGTAACCATCGTGAACTTCTCGGTTTTATCACCCGTTTGCTGGAAACCTGGGGCACCAAATTGGAGTCGAAATGCTGTCACATCGTGCCTCGATTGGTTCCGAAATGTGTTCAACCGTCTAGTTTCTTTTGACCCGGCCCGGGGAGTCGGAAGCTCAAGCCTTTGTGGAATAATATTCGGGAGTAGAAACCTCTTATCCATCTCACCTTGCCGGATGTAGAAGGAATTACCAATAGTGATTCCCCACCTATGCATGATGGTGCTCCAGGCCAGGGGCATTTATCTCTAGCGTGGTGGTCTTGTCTCGGCCGTTACCCGTTTGGGCGCAAAAATTAAATGGGATGATAGGGGCAACACGTTCCTGTCACGGATTTAACCCTGCTAGAGGCATGACTTTCCATTTAGCCTTGACACTTTGACATCTCTTGGCACCTTGAAAGCAATGATTATTCGTTCGCTAACACGAGGTAGAGAGGGATGTATCTGGGGCTTGGCTCTGGCCATCTGATATTTCATCCCCTCCCGACCTAATCGTGTCTTTTTTATTTTCATTTCTACACCACAGACTTCAGGATTATTTTGAAGAATTATCGACGTTCACCACACCCGTAAAAGACAGAATTCATCTCCATCCGTACACTGGACAACATTACTACACGTTCTTTTGGATTTCGGCAACCGCTGGCAACTTGAATACGAGCGCCAGTTCTTCCAATCCGAGAAGAAGAGTCCCAGAAGGGCTTCCACGAGCATTAGAAACTTTCGATCTTTACTGAAGAGCCATACGCCGAGGATTGTTCTACTACGAATTCCTACACGTCGGATATTCCATTCATACCTGAATACCACTCCGCAACCATGAATCTTATCGACCTCATACACCAGAGATTCGAAATTATACGTCTGGAGAACAGATACACACGCAGACGCAATCGACGTTCCACGTTCGTATCAGAGGCGCAATACGTCGACGGCGAGTACGTCTACTCACCCACGTCGGCCTACTCGGTCAAGTGCAGCGCCGGAAACAGCGACAACGACGAGGACAGCGGAAGCAAAGACAGCAGCAGCAAAAATAGCAGCAGCCAAAGAAAAGCGAGCCGGCGGATGAGCAAGATGGGTCTAGAGAAGATGGATTGGCGGAAAGGACGGGAGGGGCGAGATAAGAGCACGGTATCAGTGCGGGAGGTAAAGTGGGATGATAGTGTAAGAAGCTAGAAAAGTGGGATGGTTGGTGGTATTCTTTGGCATATTGTTTCAATATTCCGAAGCAATTCATTCATGTATTATGACATTTGGGTTGGTTGGGTGGGATTTTGTCGCTGCATTTTGTATCCCTCTGGGACGAGGCGTTTCTTTTGTTACACGGAGCATTTGCTCCTGACGGGATCCGGGTATGGGGAAATAACTTTAAATTATATGTTTTACGGCCAAATTCATGCCTACTACTCTCAAGGTAGATCACCGGAAACCCAACACTTATGATTGAAGACAGATACAAACATCGTTAGCAAAGTAGCATGGTTTGAGGCAGTTTTAATGTCTATATACCTATAGAGGTACGATCGCCCCGCCTCGATAAGAAGCTCATCTTTCGTTATCCTATGCCACGCAAGCTTGCTAAAGCCAAGTACCCTGGCACAGTACATGAAAAGTTGAGCTCTAAGGCGGGGACGTATATATAGATATGATATTAATGTCCTAACATTCGCATTCTACACTTGTACAGCTTCGACTCCTCTAACCACTGCCATCTAAGTTACTTTACCTATCGCTTGATAGCTTCCGCGCTAACCTTACTGCTGGGGTATAGTTTGTCGACGTCTATAAGCAGCAAAACTCTTTTTAAATTCGCCTTTAGCGCATTTTCTAACGCCGTCTCCAAAATCCTCCTCGATGTTATACTCTCTCGCCCTATACTGCCCACCTAACGAGCCAACGGCTTCCTACTGCATATATAATCCTTGAGTATATCGTTCCTATTACAGGCCAGATGCTCTCTAGCACGTTGGAGAGTACTTCGCTGCAGCTCTTTGGTCCACCATGGTCGTGAAATAAGGTGGTTAAGGGAGAGGTCCTTCTGCCCCAGTTGAAAGCCCGTAGATTAGGGTTCTCAGCTACAGGCTGAGGAGTGAAATTATATCAATGTCGATAGATGATCACCTGAGGCTAACATAGGTAGGCATGCGTTGGCTAACATCCCCTTGGTGCTATTGTTTCTGCTTCTAGTATCCATGCAGCTACATCATAGCATAGCCTTTTCATCAATCTTGCCTGCCACCTTCGCATTAACCAACTCAGAGACAGGTATCTGGCTCGCAAAGGCCGGAACAGCAACAGCAGCATGCGACCTTGCCCCATTTAGTGCAGTCCTTGATGACTCCTTCTCGGCGCCTTGAAGATCCTGAATACCATTATACTTGGTCTCTACCAACAAATCTCCCTTCGTTGTGAAGGTGGGATTGTGCATAGTGAAATATCCAGTCCCAGAGAGAACAAGGTGCGCGTTCTCGGGAGTGTTATTTCTCAGCCAGGTTTCGATGTACGACTTCAAAGAGTCCAGGTTGGTGTTCAGAAGTGCTTGCAGCTTCTCCCGAGCCTCCACACTGCCGAATTCTTTAATGTTATCTGCCTCGCACCACCAATCGCCAAATTTTGCAAAAGGTCCTTCGTCATACTCGACTTCGATTTCGAGATTACGGCCATTCATCTCTCCGTTTCGATCTCTTTTTATCACAAAATTGAGTCCCCAGTCTCCAACTATGATGAGACTAAGAGGTATGAGCAATTATCCTGTAATTGGTGGATGAGACATACCCCTTCGCATTTTTCTGACCCCAACCATGCTTTTCGAAGTAAATTACGACCTTGATCCTTCCACAAAGCCGCACTTTATTAGTCCCAGCTAGAGGAATGAGATGAGTTTCAGATATTGCTGGATTGATGTCAGAATATGATTGATAAACGGGGATATTGCTCAGTCACTTACTGCTCATCACCAATTTTGAATTCTTGAACAAAAAGGATGAGTCCTTGCTCTCTTTTTCAAGGACTTCTTTTCCCCAGTAATAGCCCCATTTATTGTCGATAGGCTTGCTGACGGCTTCGTTCTTGGTAAACCCTTTATACCACTCCTTCTCTGCTGGCTGCTGTCCTTGTAGACGTTTCAGTGAATAGAAGTCGTCGTGAGGGTCAGGGTGAGCTGGATCACCGCTAAAGTTGAACGTCCAACCAAATTCCGCATTCCGACCGGCTACAGTTACAACTCTGTCGAGGAAGATGGTTGTCTGCTTGACCAGTGGTTTCAGGAAAGGCACCAGATGCTGCTCAAAGAGAATATTTGACGAAATACACAATAAGCCTCCGATATTGGTGTCCACAATGGACTGGTCCGATCTCATTTGCCATGGAAGGTCATCTGTGACGAAATTCCCATTCGCTGAGTCAAATAAGGAATTATGGGGTATCGGGATATTCATGCACATTTTCGTATATGCTATGGAGTTGCGGTTGGTGGTTGGCAGAAAGACGCGACCGGGCCGCTCAAATCGATAGGTTTGCATTATGACAGATGTGGGAGGAAACGTTGGAGTAGCAGATACTGACAATACATTAGCTTATTATTGAGATCGATGATTCTCGTAACCAACCTTTTTGGGGGTCTGTGGCCAAAGCGTGGTATAAAATGGGGCTAAATGAGGCTCGCTCTTCATCAGCCTTCCCAGATCTCTTTATTAGTGTTTTACCTCTCAGTCGAGCCTCGATCTGATCATAAGTCACCACCCAAGTCCTCAGTCACATTTCGAATTGTGTGACCAACGATTCAGGGGGGTCGTTTCCATCTGGCATCTTGAAGTTTGATCGTGCAGGGTCATGTTTTGCAGCTGAAATTTCATGTTAGAAAATGACTCGAAGCTCTCTTATGGTCGAATAAACATACTTCCGAAATATAACATTAGCTGTTGGATAGAATACTCGCCCGGTATACCCATCAGGGCTTTTGTCGTATCGTCGCCCTTGACAAGTCCTGTCAAGTAATTAGCCATGTAGCGTCATTGTATAGTTCACTCTTTACTTACGCAAGCTTACTTCGAAGGCAATGTCCCAACCCTGAATGTCCACTTGTACAAGTTTGTCACGTTTTCGATTAAACACATCGAAAGGAATGTTAGGATAGCCGACTTTGCCTTTTTTTATCCTTAAGTGGTACACCACTGTACTCCGATCTAGGGTATCATCGGTGACGTTGATTTCGACTCGTGGTGGCAGCAAGTCAGCCTTGATGTTACTTAAAATCATGTTCGGGTGCGCTGCATCAATGTGCTGCATTGCAGGCACCTTCTTATAGTATTCCTCAAGTTGGTTGTTGATCATATCCTCCGATATCACTACGACGGAGTGGTATTGTGACGTAGAACAATCGATCCGAGTCTTTTGATCAGCGGTTAGCTGATTCAGCTTCAGCTCTGACGCAAATTCGGATGGATTGTAGACACCGACTTTGGTCCAGGCTTGCTTGACAATAGCTTTTCCTTTAGAACCCAGAATCTTCTCGGCATGAAGCGTGGTCAGGTCTGCCCAACCTCGAAATGTCTGATTCGAAGCCTTCTTGAAATCGCTATCAACTAATGCCGCGTACCAAAATTTACCGATAGTCTCCCAAGAATAACCGCCTAGTTCCAAAGCCGCGAGGTAAAAGGCATGGTTAGCGATGCCACAGTTCTCATGGACATCAGTCGTCTCTTTGTTGAAGTCCTTCATGGTCTTGGGTTCCGATAGTCCAGGCTTCTCGCTACCACCAGGCTGGCGGAAAGTTCGAAGGTATCGCTTCTCCCACCCAGCATAGTCTCCATATGCCTTTGTATAACTGTCTGGACAGAAATCCCAATCGCTTTGATAGACATTCATGTGGTTGACCTTGTGCTTAAGCATCATACCAAAGCAGTCAGCAATTGATTCGTTCAATGTACCACTAACCAGCTTGTATTCCTTGTGCTTTGGATCTTTGCTGGCCAAAGCATCAGCTGCAAAACCAAGCTCTGCAGTGTACCGAACCAAACCATGTGTCAATTCATGACAAACGACTTCAACCTCGTAAAAGCAATTTCTGTTGAACACATCCTCGAGCTTTCCTAACAGCTCTTCGAGAGCTTTCCTGTTCGACTCCAGTTCCGACGACTCGAGCATTTTGATACCCCTACCGGCTCCGCCATCACCAAAGAACATCATGTTAGGTTCGCGGACCCCTCCAGACCAAAAAGCATTGTTATAGTACATTCCAAGATGTATCGACGCGACAAGCTCGAGACCCTTGTCGTCAAGGGAGTTGCGACCAAAATATCGTAGAAGCTCCCACGTATGACGAAATCCTTCCTTGCATTTGGTGACCACCGGGTCCTCCACAAGTTCTCCATTTGAGTCCCTAATATCTACTCCCAGGATTGTATCATGGACCAATTCTCCTGGGAAATTTTGTCGTGGTTCACCGGGAGTCTCAACTAACTGACCAGCTCCTCATCGCCAAAGACATATTTGTCATCAATCGTTGGTTTGAGGTTTTGCATGCTATAGATGCGGCAACGAAATTCATTGTCATTGAAACCGCTTTTTGGTTCAAAGCCAGGTCCTGGTGGCGTTCCTGCTAAGACCAGACCATGAAATTCTTTGTCCCGTCGTATAAATGTGATTGCGGCTTCTCGAACATTCTTGGGGGCATTCTCATTATCGGCGATGGCCCGATAGAGGGAGGTGTTTGAAGTAAGACACATGATAACTAAAGACGTCAGAAAGACGACGAGTTTGAAATCTTCTTGGGAGTAATAGTAGTTCCTTGAATCATATGATTGATCGTTATGCAAGCAGTGAAGAGATGATAACGCAATTCGAGCTGACAACCCACAAGCAAGAGTTCTTATATACAATATTAGAGCCTCGCAAGCGAGTACTTCTATGTATAGAATGGCATGGTTGTAGCACTGCAGGCTAGATTCAAGACGCCCGTCTGTATCATAACGCAGCAAAGGCCTATGGTGGCGTAGGAAAGGCAAGCTGAAAGATCTTGTTCGGTCCAAATGTATTTGTAGGTGTGTTGTCTAGAGACATAATAAAGTAGCCTGCCCGATGTATTGCAATTGGCAATTATCCATGCATTTGGAAATAGAGCAAATATCAGTGCTGTAGATAGCAAGCAAGGCTAAAAGATGCATGTAGTCTTTCATGCACCATACAAAAGAGCCTACATATCCGACGCATTCAGCAATATTGAATATGGTGGTGCTGCCGATGCCAGCTGGAATGCTAGAAAATACATAGTGGCGTAGACTGCAAGCTGAGGGTAGAGGTCGTGAATCCGACTCGTGATGTCTCGTTGCCAATAAAAGTGCAGCCACGCTCAGACTAGTTATCATCGAAGGAGCAGAACTCCGTCCAGTTAACGCTTGCAACTTATAGGAGATAGATCTGGGCACATCTTGCGGGATGTTTCTTGCTTAGAGACAGCTATAATGCAGAAGCAAAGACAGACAAAGACAGAAACACAGGCGTATGAGGCCTGTGAGTGGATTTGGACAATACCGCTAACATGCCGCCGCGGGGGCCCCGTGGCCCTACGCAAGCTCCGGGGCATTGTCCACATTCATACCCAGCTAACGTAGTCTGGGCGTATTGAAACTCATGTTATCTAAGTATAGGAGTGGAAGAAGGCCGCGGGGGAAGATACTAACGCTCTAAGGGGGGAAGTATACTATAGTAAGAGAGGAAGTACGATTGCGCAGTATGAGGACAACATAGAGAATGTACAGAAACGCTCCTCCGCTGCTACTTTTCTAAGCTAATCAGATCCATCCATTCCGCCTAGTGTCCTTTTTCGACGCTAATTGTCTTTGTTAACCCTCATTGGGTGAGAGAAAGAATACACTAGCGCTGGCAATAACCGAGGGTCTATCATAGCGAAGGGGAACCCTACTCAGAAAGAGACAATATATATAAACAGCGTGATTGTTACAGCTCATCATATTAAAGAGAAACCGATGGCAAGTGCCCATAATCAATTTACTGTTGTGTGAAGGTTGAAAAGTTGTTGGTCTGTCTGGTTCATATCCAAGGATCAGGAAACCTATCTTTCAGGTCTTTTACAGCTTGGGAACGTGGTTCCTATTTCAAAAATTTGCATGCTTCATCAGTATTGTACAAATCACAAGAGCAAGGTAGTCTATAATCGATCAGGTCAAAGAATTCGCATGTTTATTTTCAGCCTTAGCCTAGGTCTTTGTTCTTTGCTTTCTTCTCAAATCGCAAGTCCGCAACCAAACCCCTTCCTATATCCAAACCGCATTGATCAAATAAAGGATGAACACTGAGAAATATTCCCATCCTTTTGAGACTCGGGCAGCGCGCATTTTCCCCCTTTTCATTCCCAATCCAATTCAAACAACCATTCTCCTTTTGCCCATATAGAATCACGAAAGCCAAGACGATATGTCTCCCATGGACATCTCACCCAATAGGTTTCTGATGAGAGATGACATAGAAGATTATACCCATGGCGACCAAGTCGTCTATCTCGAGGCTGCAAAGAACTTCCCCCTTCTAAACGGCCATTGGATGCCTAAGCAAATCCTTGGAACAGGATCATTCGGAATAGTTTCTAAGTTCGAGTATACAGGCAACGAGCCGGGAGTGCTGAGATTCATGGTGGTCAAGCAATCAAGTAGTGAAATGCGGGACGAGATTGAATTAGAATCCCGCCACCTACAGGTAAGTCAACTTCTTGGAGAATATCTACATATTACTCTGTAAGAGTGGTTAAAATCTCTTCATGGTTGACCAAATAATGAGACATTGTCAACTCCAAAGCTGTACCATATCAGGCAATACTGACTCCCGGTTGTTTACCACAGAGGATCGCTGGAGCCAACTCGGAACATGTGGTGAGGCTGTATAAAAAAGTAGGTCGGGGGACAGGCAGTGGAACCTCAAAGAAAGATGGTTTCGACCCTGCTGGGCCCGTGTATCGGATATATATGGAATTTTGCGATGCTGGGGACTTGGATCATTACATGAAAACCAAGCTCGAAGAGTCGAATGGCGAAGCAAGGTCTGCGATACCTGAAGAGCATTTATGGCGGATGCTGCATTGTCTTGCGAGGGGCATGCTGGTCATGGAACAAGGCATTGAAGACCCAATGGCTAAGAAACCAAACACGGATGAATGGAGACCGTGAGTTAACTACCTGCTTCAAATGCTGTAAGGCTGTAACGGTCAGCCAGCAAAGCCTCTGAAGTTTGATTCCAATAGCTAGCTAGCTTCTACATCTGTATGCTAACTTCTCTTTGGCAAGGTGATTCATTTTGATATCAAGCCTGCCAATAGTACGTCTTTTTCGAACAGGTCAGGAATTCTTATTGGATTATGACGCTAATTGTTTAGTCCTCATCAGCTCCAGCAAGAATTGGATGAAGCACAAAGGGTTTGCGGCCTTCAAGGTAGGCACAGTATTAGCTATACATTTTAACAAGAGATTTTAACAAGTATGCTTAGTTTGCCGATTTTGGACTCTCATTGAGAGTCCCAGATGTACACGACGAGAAATGGATTGTGGAAACAGGATGGAGAGCCAGTAAAGGCTACCACGCCCCCGTAAGCCTAAATTCCTCGAGTCTCGTTCGGTGGATATAGACTCTGACTATGCAACCAGGAACAATATTTTGAGGGACACCACAATCGTATCATTGGACCACAAGTGAACATTTTTTCCGTGGGGATAATTATGTATAGGCTCTTGATCGGCGACGTGATAGGTGAAGACGGTGGCAACAATTACTTCATCCACAGATTTCCAAATAACGAAACTGTTCTGTAAGTTCCCCAAATCAACACCCCAAGAGCACAACCTGGCATCCTAATCATGAATCTCTATATCTAAAAACATTAGCTAATGACACCCCAGAACTGCTGGACCTGAACTTCTCGAAAGTGGACTCAAGTACAGCACTGCTCTAGTGAACCTCGTTCTCAAATGCCTTGCCTACGATCCAAGCCAACGAATAACAGCCGCAGAGCTAGTGATCTCAACAGCTCCCATGGTGCAACACTGTAATTCCAGACCCAACTCCTCGATACTATTAAGCGATACAGCCGATGAGTTTGCAAGCAACGGCGACTTACTTAGGCACCTACCCTCAGGCTTCAAGCTGCAGGCAGATTTACCCGAGAAGATACTACACCGTTTTGACCTCAAAGGCGTGGATGAGTTTGGCGAGCCATACAAAACGCCAGAACAATCAGAGGAACTCTGGGACGACACTCCAAAGCAGCAACAGCCCGCGAACAAACTGCTCTGGGACCGCTCAACCGGTGTCACGCGTTATGCGTATTCCACCAGATATCAACGATCTGCCCGCGCTCAGTCATTCGAGCAGCCTCAGGTATCTGCTTCTGCCCAACGCCGACTCAAATCCAACTCCAAATCCAGCATCCGCCGAACTCCCACATCCCCTCGTGCCCCCTTCTCCTATTTCGCCCCTCTCACGCACCGCTGGTCCCGCTTCCAGCACCCTCCAACCTCCACCCTCGCTCTCGAGCAATACATATCCCGCCTCCAAAGCCAAGCGGACGCCCGCGCCCAACAGCCCACCTTTGCCCGTATCGCCGCTCTCGAAGACCGGAACAAGCGGGTGCAGCAAGTGGGGGATTTCATGGGCAACGATGTTTTCGAGCAGAAAGTGCAGAAGGTGATTGATGGGTGGACGAGTGGAAGTGGGAGTGGAAGTACAGTAGGGTTGAGTGTGGATGAGATGAAGAATGCGGAAAGCTTGATGAGGGCGAGGGCGGAGGAGGTTGTGAGTGGATTGGGAGATCCATTGGGGTATCCGGATCCCAGAGGCTACGTGGAAAGGGTTGTGGATGATTTTTTGGAGCCGGCTTTGGCGAATTGGAGAATATAGGTTTTCTTGTGTAGGATAATGAAAGTGTATGTCCTTAAAGATGAGCAAGGGGTTGGGGATGAAGTGAGATATTTGTTTCGGTGTTGTTGTGAATTATATAGTGAGAGATTCATTCCAGAAAGGTGTGTTGCAAATCAAACATTACATGTATAAAATAAAGCCTTTGATGTGAGGCGCTCACAGGGAGGACATGACTTTCCAGCAAATTTAGTTTTTGCTTTGACTTTCATTTGGCACTTGCCTGCTTCTTCGCCGTCACCAGGGGGATAGATGTTCGATAACCAGACATAGAACATAGAACCAAAGGACGTTCGAGGTGTACAGTAGACAATCTATCTCTCAAAGCACGCTAGCCCAACGCCTGGCACATGCATCTCGTCCTGAGTTATGCGATGTCCCAATCAATCCAATCCCAAGAGAATATTTTGCTAGCCCCCAAAGTCCAACTCCCGCAACCCAATTACAGTACAAATATGCATCAGCCAGTAAATCAAGGTCTCTTAAACGGATGCGCTTCAGTATTCAATACCCATTCATCTAAACTGATCACATCAGGCGTCGAATACAACAGGTAAAAATACTTTAGCGTTTCCGCGGTCCAAAAACTTTCCATCTCATCAAGTTGGTATGTCTCGTTGCGAGGCGACGTGACATCGAGAATGGCTGAGTGGCCGTACTTGGTGGATGTGCTATTGATGATTGATTCGAACATGTTCCAGCCTTTGTCTTGCCATGTTGTCTCGCCTGTTATGCGGTACATATACCATACTGACTCGATCGCTTCGGGTCTGGAAATCAGGGTTAGTTTATGTACTAAGTTCAGAAGGGAATTGGGCTTACCTTAGGATGTACTTGTTGGATCTGATATACGTGTATCCGGGGGGGAGTCCTTCTTGCGCGATTCGATTGTCAACAAACTCCTTGTGTGTAAATGGCATCGACGGATCGCGCATAGGCGGCTCTACTGGTTCCACGGAAGGCAGCTCGTCCATATGTCCACCCGTCGCAACGGTCAGCAGATCATCCGCTGTCGACGCTGCCTTTTGGTGATAAAACTCCTCTGCCTCAGGTGATAGAGCAACCTTCGGTTTTGACTTTGGGGTCTTGGAGTCTTGAGCGGGTATTTTTCTGATAGAACTATCTTTGAAATTGTGTGAAATAGGTTGAGGGACTTCGAGTTTTGGGGAGCTCTCAGATTGCCGTTTTTGTAGTGACACCGTGCCATCCTTTTCTAAAGCAGCCGTGCCATTATGAGTGTCGACATCGTATTCCTCCTCTTCGTCTTGCTTCTGGGCATTGAGCCTTTGCGCCTCTTTCTTGGAAGCAAGAGCCTTCGCATTTGCTGCCAATTGCTCATCAGATTCCAGTTTAGCCTTCTTATAAGATTCCACATTCCCGTCTCTCTCATTCCAGATTGGATCCAGCTCTTGGTGATACAGCGTCTCGTTCCACTTGCAATCCTCAGAACTTGCGCAAGGGAAAGCAATGGCGGTCTCTGGCATGATTCCGGTAGGCGTACTTTCATAGGCCCATACACATGCATCGGTAAGCTTCTTCGCGAGTTCTAGATCGCTTTCTAGGCCAAATATCTTCGCACTCATCCCAATCATACCGCCAATGAAGCATGTAAGATGCGCCACTTCAGGTTCTAACTGGAGATCATTTTCGGGGTCTCCTCTCGTAGTAACCGTACCGGCGAACAAGATGTCACGGTTGCCTGGAACCATAGGTCGAAAAAGCATCCATTTCTTGATATCTTCTACGGTCTTGAGATATAGCTTACGATATTGAGTCTCGAGACCACCGAGTAACAAGAATTGCTAGATCTATTAGCATGGCTGAGGACATGAGGAATGCTTGTTGTGAAATCTTTACCTTTGGATAGTATTCGTAAGTTGAATCCTGCCCGCCCCCCATTCCAAATTTCAAAGCCTGATTTACATTATTTTCGGAAGGCTCTAATCCTTGCGGCTTGCAATCCCAACTGGCCGAAGCAGTTTCTGCTTGTATTTCCATATTTTGCATCACTTCTCCATTGTTAGGGCGTGAAGGCAAATCGCTGATTGGGTTGACTTGAGTGGGAGGAGTGTGAGGCTCTTCAGCATTAGCACTCGCAGCATCAGGCTCACTTCCCACATCTCTCTTCGTAGTCTTCTTAGTCTCAACTTTGTCCTTTGGATCCTCCCAATCGCTGATGTAAGCCTTGCTTAGTTCACCGGGTAAGATCTGAACTTGTAAGGATCCTGGACCCGAAGGAGAGTCCTTGATTCCTTTCTTCCTCGGCTCGGCGACCGTTCCAGGGCTATCTGGCTGATATCCCAGAGCTTTTTCATCGTCTTTTGACATGGCTGGAACAAATGATGCAATAGGCTGTTGACTAGTAAGTTCAACTGTCCTATTGCAACCAGACGCATCCACAGCGCCCGGAAAGACACTTCCTAGTGCAGTTCCCCGATCCTGCCATTCTGAAAGGGCATTTGTAACCCTAGCTACAGCATCGTAATAACGCTGATCCTGGGTCAACTGTGCCAACCTTGTAAATTCCATTGACAGTGATCCCAGCTCAGCAAGATTGGATCTCTGACTAGCACGATGTGGCTGAGATGCAAAAGCTGGTCTCCATCTGTAGTATAAAATTGGCATACGGTTCGGGGTGTCAAAAGCCCCAATCAGGATATCAGCCAGCTCAACAGCCTTGTCCAACAAGTTCTTGTATCTCCCACTACTGACATCGTAAGCCGCAAGAAGACCCCCCAAATACCGAATAGTCGTCTCAAACATCGGGATATCGCTCCGGGGACTTGTAGTGAAGTCTATCAAATCCACCGCCTTAGCCGCCTCTTCGAATTCTTCCTCCAAGCCCATGATCCATAGCGTATCCAACGTATCGACAAGAGTTGCAGCCCATCCGCAGAATGGATCACGAAACTTCCCCGACACTGGTGATAATTCATCGTGAAGCCAAGCATGCTTCTTGTACCCTCCCCACGCTTTCTTGAATTCTTGCTTCACAATTGTCTGCCTCTGCTCCCGATCCCGCTTCATATCCGATGTCTCCTCGTGGAAAGCATATTGAATTTTGGGAATTGAAACTGGCGTGCCAGTTGGGAGTTTGATTATGGATTCCGTGGGAACCGGGAAATGTTCCGGCTGTTTGGACCAGTGTATCGCACTCGTAGCCGCTGGTAACTCCAGCAATTCCTGCCTGCCAGGAGGTGCCACGGGATGGACGTCATCCACATCTGTGTTATATACATCTGCACCTGGCGGCGGCCTTTGCCTATTTGGTAGGGTAAACTTCGGGACTGTCTCTTGAGCAGCGGCACTGGACTTTGTCGTTGTTTTGACATTGGGGATCGAAGTGGGTGTCATCTTTGGCGTCGTTTCGAGCAGCACAACTTCTGGTTTACGCTGTGGTTTCTCTTCCGCTTCGGGTTTGCTCTTTTCAAGCCCTATGAGCCGCTCCTCTTCTACCGGCGGCGTCCATTTCGGAAAGGAGTCTGGTCTAGCTGGGGCAGTATCCGACGAACCTCCCACGCTTTGGGATTGAGGGTATTGCGGCCAGTCTTTTCGGTGTGACAATCGAACAAGGAGAATCGTAATTAGAGCCGCGAATATAAGGAAGACGCGGTAGCGTCTGAATCGCATCATGATCATTCTGAACTGCTCCGTGTCTCGAGGGGGAACGACTCAATGCGAGCGGAGGGGTCCAAAAGGAGAAAGTTCTGGGAATGCGATAGTAAGGTCGCTAGTGTTTCGATACTCTGATGAGCATTTTTGATTAGAAATCGGTTTACTGGTCTGGATGGCACACGTCGCTGTCGACCGGTAATAATAATGAAATGAAAAGAAGGAAGAAGGTAAGAAATGTTTAGATTGTTCAGCTCTCGAAAGCTTTCAACAGCTTTCAGTCTTCTAGGTCAATTATTGGGAGGATCGGCGGCTAGGTGGATACATGCAAGTACCACCTAGTGGTGCCCCTAAACCGAATTTGGCGGCCCCTGAAATACCCTAAGATATTAGTATATCTTCCCCAGACACAGCCAACTGCACTGCAACTCCAAATAAAGTGATCCCGGTTCGTTTATCCACTAAGAACAATATATTCTGTGTCTAGCTGAAAGCCTAGACGGCTCTCCTTACCCGCCTCGCCGCCAATCAGTCTCTTTACGACCAGCTTGTATAGCTCAAGCCAATACCCGTGACCTTATTCAACCAAGCTAGCGGGAACAATGGGGGTAGGTACAAGCTTGAAGAATTTATATTAACAACCTGGATGAGTCCGAGCCGGTCTTCAAGCTAGGTACTTATGAACCATTATTTCAACGAGTTTCAAGTGAAATGAAAAGCATATCATTATAGTATATCCAAACGTTTATAAAATTACCAAAACCAATTTAGTAAAAATATATTGAATAAATGCCGGTCCATGTGATATTGTTGGACTTTGATATTGCTTGGTCAACAGACACACAGATAAAACCACGGTCTCTAGCGTAGTCGACACGTAACCTTCTACATATCATACAATACAGACATCGGATATCCCAACAGATATGCACTTTTCAGATATTATGGTATTCGGCATGCTTTTCATTCTATCTATTCCTTTTACCTAGTAAAGGCATCTCATTATATGTGCCCACTCGGTTGAATGTTGTACAATACAATATGCAGTGCTACATGACAGACAAAAAGCGCCGAGACCTTTTCCATGCTAGCACCACGGTACAAAGCTCAAGCAAAGCCAAGCCCATCATCATGCACCTACTCGTCCATTCCAGGACCCGGTCCAGCTGCTCTACCCATCTGTCTAGCCTTGAGCATCTCATCACATAGAAGCAGGTTGGATGCAATGCCAGAACTCGAGGCAATGGCAGCTCTAATTACTCGGAACGAGTCGAAAACACCTTCTAAAACTGGATCCATAGGCTCACCAGTCGTGAGATTTAGGCCGACAACATTGCCCTCTGCTTGCTCATCCTGAAGGCTAGCAACTGTTCTCACATTAGTAAATTGATGTTGAAAGGTGACTCGGGGCTACTTACGTGCGTCTTGAATATCATGTCCAGCATTTGCAGCTAGAGTTTTTGGGATGATAAGCAGTGCATCAGAAAACGCCTGAACTCCCCACTTCGCCTTGCCCTTGACAGTTTTGCGGAAAGCCTCGCTGTTCAGATGCGCTGCACACGCCACCTGGAAGGCTCCAGCACCTGGTACAACACTCTTATCGACAATCATGTTGTAGACACTTCTTAAACCATCTCGGACCGCATCCGAAATCTGGGTGATGGTGTGCTGATTTGGTCCCTTGATGAGGAGCGTTACCGATTTTGGCTCTTTGACGTCCTCAATGAATGTAAATTTCTCCTCGCCAAGTGCGTGCTCGTAGACATTTCCTGCCCAGCCAAGAACCTCTGGAGACAGATCATCAACACTGTTTTGTGCCGTGCCGCCACAGATCAGCTGTAATCTCTCCATATTCCGTCTCTTCGCCCGTCTCAACGCAAAGATTCCATTCTTGACCAAAACATCCAGGGACAAGGGATCGATTCCTTTCTGGTTTATGATGACAAACCCCTTCTTGGGATCATTACCGCACACCTCCTTCTTTAACTCGACAATCTTTCGCAGCTTCTCATCAACGAAACGACGTTCGCTCTCGACAAGCTTGTCTCTTTGTTCTGCGCTCGAATAGTAGAACGACGAGTTGATTTCGGTTTTTTCGTACTCTAAGCTGACGTTCAAGGCGAGAATAAAGGCATTCTCGACCCTCTTCGGCATATCAGGATGTCTCGCTCCATGATCTAAAGCCAATCCTCGGATGAGTTGAGTCTCGGAAGCAGTACGATGTTGCATCTTCATGATTTCGATCATATGCAAGTCGGGTTTTGCGGGTGCCTGGTAGATGGAGAGAACAGCATCGACGATATCGGGCGTGAGTTTCTCGGCGAGGGTGTGGTTGAGCTTCGTAGAAAGGGAGGTGCGTGCAACAGATATGAGTAACTCTCGGTCAACTTCTTTCTCCATCTTGAATGTGTCCAGGAACTATAGATAGTTAGCTGCCGCCCTGAACAAATAACTTGTAAACTCACCTTCAAAGCCTCCACCTTGGCAATTTCGTAGCCATCGGTGATGATTCTAGGATGTAAGCCCTCTGAAATATATCTGTCTGCCTGCTTCAAGAATTCTCCAACGAGCAACACCACTGAGGTTGTGCCGTCACCGCAGATATCGTCCTGGGCTGTCGCAGCTCTTGCGATCATAACAGCTGTAGGATTTTGGATTTGCATCTCCCGTAACAGAACGTTTCCATCTTTCGTAAGTTTAATCTGCACAAATTTGCAAATTAGAGGTGTTCCAAAGAGGGTGGGAGGTCCGTACCGCGCCAGCTCCATCAACAAGCCTTGGTAAAAGTTAGCTATATTCATATTGAGGAGTACAGATCTGGACAAACATCTTAATAGTCCCTAAAGGACCCAAGTTCGACTTGAGCACGTTTTGTAGTCCTTCACCAGCGCTGATGTTGACTTGTAAGGCCTCTCCCCTCCGCTAGCTGGATGTCAGTAAATATTCTCCTCCACTACATCGATAAACGCACCCTGGACTCGGCTTTCGGGTTGAGAAGCTGCGCAGCAGACATATTGACAGTAGGCGATCGTAAGAAGGATGTACTGCGGGAGTTTGAGATGCTGTGAAGTTGTCCTGAAATTATCTCTACTCGAAGCTTTTTTTCAGACGCGAGGCGCGAGAAGTGCTGGAGTACGGTGGCCGAGAAGGTCCAAAATTGGCAAGGCTGCTGCTGCTGTGCACATTGAACAACTGCTGACATGACCACGACTACATATCGTCATCAACAACATTTCAACTCATACTTCTAAAGCAAAAGAAACACTACTACAAGATGTATGCAGGCTGGAACCTGTTGCTCGTCGTAGCTGTTCTTTGTGGACAAAGTGTTGGCTTCTTTTGGCGCTTCAACAGCTTCACTGGCGTAGTATCAACAAATACCCCTGAATTAGAGGAACCTCTCGACACCAACAAACGCGTTGCTATCATTGGTATGTACCGGTCTGCCTTTCCATCATTGTTTCATATTTCTTCCTTTTGATTCAACCTGAATGTACCTCTATAAGCTTCATGGGAGCCATTGCTCTATAGAGCTATGACATACGTCGTACGATTCGGTGCGGATCTCCCTCAATAGGTCTGAATTCTATCCAAATTGTCCCCTATTGGGAATGGGACATTCTGAGAGGCTTAACTTGAGCGTCCTGTATTCCAGCTTGCAACTTATGGCCCCAATCAGAGTTAAAATGGAATTCGCACGTTCTCACGTGATCTACCCCCTTTAATATTTGCCACTGGGGCTCGGTACTGCCACAGTCAAAAGAAAAAAAAAAAACAGAAGCTAACAGATTACTACAGGTGCTGGGGCTTCTGGGTCATCTACGGCATATTACTTGCAACAATTCGCTGAACTGTCGGGTATTTCAATCAACGTCACTGTTTTCGAAAGGTCAAGTTACGTTGGGGGCCGCTCAACGACCGTCAACGCCTATGGCAACCCCCTAGAGCGCGTTGAACTTGGTGCGAGTATCTTCGTCGATATCAATACTATCCTCAAGAACTCAAGTACCAAGTTCGGCTTGAGAACTAAGGATTCCGAAACTGAATACGATGAGATTTTGAGTATCTGGGATGGCGAGAAGTTTGTTTTTACACAGAAAGATAGCGGATGGCAATATTGGGACATTGCAAAAATGCTCTGGAAATATGGCCTCGCACCTCTTCGAACGCAGCGCCTGATGAAGAGTACTGTTAGTAAATTTCGAAAGCTGTATGAAGCGCCTGCGTTCCCATTTAAATCCCTGTCCGACAGGGCATTGGATTTGGACCTCACTTCTGTGACTTCCTTGACGGGGGAGCAGTATCTCAAGGACAACAACGTAAGTCAATCCCCCCGCTCAAATAGAAATTTACTCACAAGTCTCAGGTTGGAGCTCCATTTTCCACAGACATTATCCAAGCCAGTACACGAGTCAACTATGGCCAGAACCTCAATACCATCCATGGACTTGAAGCTATGGTCTGTATGGCTATTGATGGTGCTATGCAAATAGATGGTGGCAACTGGCAAATCTTCGACGGCATGTTGAAAGCCTCCAACGCCACAGTTCACCTGAACAGCACCGTCAGTTCCATTTCAAACCACAAAGGCAGATACAGCGTCAAAAGCACTTCCGACGATGCGATTACTGGAGAATCATATACTAAAGAATCTGTTTTCGATACCATTGTTCTTGCGGCGCCTCTCCAATACTCCGGAATTGATATTGAAAAAGGACTCCTTCAACACACACCCGACGAAATTCCATATGTTACACTTCATGTCACACTCTTTACTTCCTCCCGCAGACTAGACCGTGGTTTCTTCAACCTCGCACCAGATGCAGACATCCCAACTTCAATCCTCACCACCCTCCAACCCGGCCAAGCCCCCTCGAACTACACAGAAGGCTGCGGCAAACCCGGCTTCTTTAGCATCAGCACCCTACGCACAGTCATCAACCCCGAGACATTAGAGAGAGAAAACCTCTACAAAATATTCTCCCCCAACGCCTTAACCTCCGAATTCCTAGGCGATATCCTAGGAATCCCCAGTAAGTCATATATATCCCCCTCCCATCCCATCCCCTGCCACTTCACTTACCCCATTTTGCATCAATCAGTCAGACTAACATACCCCCAGTCCCCGCAGACCTCAGCAGCATATCCCCCAGCAGTGGCGACGCGATAACCTGGTACTACCCACACATCTGGCACTCCTACCCCTACGAACTGCCGCGCGTCACCTTCGAGGACTCAGCACTGGCCCGCAACTTCTACTACACGAGTGGAATGGAGAGCTTCATTTCTACCATGGAGACCATGGCACTTATGGGCATGAATGTTGCGCAGTTGGTTGTGGATGACTTTAAAGAGATTATGGCAGACGAGGAGCTGGAGCAGGTAGAAGGAGTACAGAAGATTATGGTGGAGGAGATTGTTCCTGATGAGCTGTGAACAGAAAGTCGTTATTGGGGAAATTTGAAAAGTTTTAGGACAGGACAGGGTGGTTAATTGATTACCTTAACTTCTTGTATTATGGCTGGCAAAATGGGATAGGAAAGGAATACTTTTATTTATATGTTCGTTTTCTGGACTGTTTCAAGGCCTGTCCTGATTTAATATGCAACCTGTTTATCCCTTTCTACCATTTTGCATCCATGTTTCAATTCCTAACCCTTCAACCCATTCTTCAAATTCTCATACCTGGAGTGCGGATACTCGATGCAATTATTCCCCTTCTCCAACCTCCCCAACTCCTCCACAACCGCCTCAATCAAACTCCCCTCACCCCTCCTATCCCCCGAACTCTCCCACCACATCGCGCCCCCCAACCCCTCGCTCTTCAACCACCGCGTCTTCTCCCGCGCCATCTCCACCGTATCATACGTCACAAGCTGCCTCTTGCCCGCATCATAGCTGTACGTAGCGCCAGCCTCGCGATCCCAAAAAACCTCCGCCCCACCCAACGGCAGCGCCTTGAAATCCCACACCCCAGCCTCCCAACTTCCCTCCCCAGTCCCGCTGAAGGCCCGGCCTAGGCCCTCCGTCTCGCAAAACGCTCGCCCGTACAGCGGCATCCCGAGCACGATCTTCGAACCCCTGACGCCTTGCGCCTTGTAGTACCCCACCGCGCTCTGGCTGTTAAACGGCGTTGCGTCGGGATACTGCCTACTAGGTGCGATGTTCGCCTGATGACCCGCCTTTACGTCCCAAGACCCCGCATAATCATACGCCATCAAGTTCCAGAAATCAAGATACGCGTCCATGGCCCTGATATCCATCTTCTCGTAATTCTGCGCGCCGGCCGGACACGCGACCGTTAGTTCAAAGTGGTGCCTGTGCGGCAGGGTCGCGGAATAAGCATCCATGGCTTCCCGACACGCTTTCAGGAGTAGTACGAAGTCAGATGCTTCGGAGGGGTTCTTGGGGTATTCCCAATCAATGTCGAGGCCGTCGAAACCCAGATGCTTGATGAGTTCCACGGCTGAAGCGGCGAATTTCTCGCGGCCGGACACGCTGGAGGCCGGGACGGCAAAGTTGGAGGAGTAGGTCCAGCCGCCGATGGAGAGGAGGATTTTGAGGGAGCGGTTTTGCTGTTTTAGGATGTTGAGTTGTTTGAGGCAGCCGTAGAGGTTGGTGCCGGAGTCGTTCCAGGAGTCGCCGTCGAAATGGATGTCTGTGTCTGCCCAGCCGTCGGTGAGATAGCTACTTATGAGTTAGAATTCTGTGGTACTGTAAAGAGATGAAGGGGTTCTAGATGCTTACACTTCTCCGCTTTCCGGGCGGACGTTGGCGAATGCGTAGAGGACATGAGTGAGCTTGTCGGCTGGGAGCATTTGAGGAGTATATTTCCGGCCATAGATTGCCCACTGCTTAAGTTAGCATTATAACTTCAAAAACACCAGCCCCTTCTACGAGTCCTCTTCAATATGGGGTGTTTGTAAGTCACGAGACCAGCTCTGAGACCCCCTTCGCTCATCCAGGACACCGACAGCCCAGCGAAACTACCTATCGGGAGCAGAGTTCTCATACTCACATTCACAAAATACGCAACCGAACGATATCCGTCACCACCACCCATCTTTGCTTCAATAATCTCTTTATGGCTTTCGTATGTGAAGAAAGGCGGCAGCAAATCTGTCTCCGAGAAGTGCACAAGGAGTAATCCTGCAAATGCAACAAAGAGTGGGATGGCGTAAAGTAGTAGTCTTTTGAAGGAAGCCACTTTGATGTTTTTCTATGGGTTAAAGTTGAGACTCGGGAGCAAGTGTTTATATGTTTAAGTTGTGAGGTTGAGTGTGGCGCTGTGAATGCATGTGTGGCGAAGCTGTGTCGATTCAGCTCCAATCACAGGGGCTGAGAGGGAATAGTGACGACGCGCGGGGTTGAAAGGGGTAATGAATACAGAAGGATGATTGGAACAATACTTGAAAAATAGTTGAATTAAACTTTAGTAAGTATGCTGTTGCCTGTTCAGTCTCGAGCAGTAATAGCTTTCAACACATCTACAATTGGTCAAATGTTTTAACATCACAGCAACGTTGCAAATAGCCCTTGAGATCTGGTTCTTCTACGGATATCATTGCATGCCATGTACATCATTTACTTCATTAACCTCTGGTGCCTTCTAGGCAACAAAGCTTCATTATCTCAACGCATGTTCCACCCCTTCAGCAAGGCCATAGAAAGCCTTCCCAGCACAGATGCGGTGAGAGAATAAGCTTCTCACAGCTCGTATTTGTCCTTGAAGCGACGGCTGGGCGCTCTATCATCGTTGAAATTGGTAATCACGAAGTATCGTAGTGACCATGGGAAGTCCTCGCTGGGAGGGCTTCGTCTTGGACACATGAAGCGACACTATATCTTGTCGGAGTTCAATGTCCCTCTCGCTCGACTTGATCAGTGTGAAACTGTAGTGCCGCTCGTCTGTCTACTTCGTAGGGGTGATACTCCGGGGTATATGGCGTGCATCGTAATAGCTTAGAAGAGGTCGTCAACCTTTAGGATTGTTCTTTTGCTGGTAGATGTCCATAGGACGACCCTTGATATTCTCACTGGAGCAAACCTCTGGAGCCGGTAGTAATTTCCGGTAGCTCTCATCTCGCGGGTCCGTAACACCATATCCCACCGGATCCCTCTGCCTCAGAAAAGTGTGTATCCTTTCTTCTCGATTCCCAAATGAGTTCGCTTCTCGTCGGCGACGCATCAGGTCTTTTGAAGCCCTATTATGCTGAGCATCGCTCTGCTCTAGGAGGTCTATAGCATAGTTCCCAACCCGAGTAGCCTGGCCGATTCCTCCCAAGACTGCGAATATGACGATCAAGCCAGCAAAGGCGCCGTTTGACACGAATCTTGGTTCTTGAGGCCCTTCAGCCTCTCGCTGATACCATTTCTCCCAATCTTCCCAAGTAGCACATTGACTTGGCCCCATTGGCGAATTACCCCATCCTCTTGCTCCTTCCGAACGATCCCGATCGACATCTGGCTGCCCATTCCACCCTGCTCCATATAAATCATAGGCACCCCGTTTGACCGGATCCGACAGGATATTGTTGGCAGCAACAACTAGCCTGTACCTCTCTAGCTTCGTGTCCTCTGATACACCGTCGTCTAAGCTGTCAAATTGTCGATCCGGGTGATATAGCTTCACTAGCTCGTAGAATCGCAGTTTCGAGTATGGGGAACCTTTCTTCTGGTTGAAGATCTGGTAGGGTGATGGAATGGTGTTTGCAGATGTCACCTCTGGCCATCTGAGGTTCCCATGATGATGCCTGACAGGACCATCAGAGACTATAGGATAGTGCCGGATTTGTTGTTGGGGTGGACCCGAGCGATGCTGCAGTGACGTCTTCGATGTTGGTCGTGAGCGATAGAGGCAATGGAAGTTGCCGTATGGCAGCAGGATACCGGACTTCTTCAACATGACTGACAGTAAGCCAGTCTTGGTCTCGAGGAAGGAATCATGTCCAAGGCAAGGGAGGGAAGGGATCCAAAGCACCTGGATGACTTTGACAAAGAAGGCAACGGAGCGGGCAGAGCAGAGCATGCAGACCACTCCACTCCACTTCACTTGCTTGTTAGCTTCAGCACTAAACTAGTCCCTCGGCTGCGATAAGGACACCGATAAGGATAAGGAGTACAGTAACTTGACGCGTCGCATCTTGCTGCTCTTAGACTTGCCCAATCTTGCACTTTTCCGTACAGTACCTACTCATCACTGCCGCATGACGCCGCCAGGAAGCTCCCTCATAATTTCCCACTTACAGTCCTCTGTACTCCTCAACTGCCTTTTTACCCAGAATATGTTCAACAAGTTCTCAAAACGGCTCAGTCATCATGGATTGGCTTCTTGCTCGCGCGAAATCCAAACGCAATCGACTTCTCAAGCGGAAAACCCCTTCACGTACGAGTAGTAGAGCACCCTCTACGACGCCAAGCGGTCATCAAAAGTTCGATGAGGCGACAGGACAGGTTTACACAGAAACAACTACTGCCATTGAGACGGCAAATGATCTCGACTGGACGCGCCGAACCGTTCTTGCTATTGGCCCGGACTGGCGTGAGCAGGAAGAAGTAGCCCTCATCGAGGCATGGAGGGCAAGTCAAAATAAAGGTGTCGACCCCGAGATACTGGGAAGTTATCGTGGATATCTAGACAATGTCAGAAACTCGAGGATTTGGGGCTTCAGAGGAGCCCGATCTCTTCAAGATGTCGCCGTGGAAGCCATCGTGCAAAATATCACCGAGATTACTTTGGAGGGAATGGAATGTCTGCCTGTCCAATTAGTACGTCGTATATGGCACGCTGTCGACAAGAGGTTAGTCTATTGCTTGATTTATCGTAATTAAACTAATCCTCTCTTTCTAGATGCTTGATATCCCTCGATACCTGGTTGATCTTCTCCAAACTTCTACACAAGGAGGAAGAGTCAACATTGAAGCTTATGAGATATCGTCAAGACATCGCAGCACCCAAGGCGCCTCTTCAAGTGTATACAGCTCCACTCATATCACCGTCTTTTGACTTCATAACTTGCTTAAGCATCACAATTGTTTCTAAAATTTCCGACCTTGTCAAAATCTCTTTGATGAAGAACCTTGGGTCCCTCGAGATTATTCATACACGACAGAACTCAGCAACCCGATCACCAGTGACTGATAGACTAATGCGGTCCTGGCATCAAGCTGCGATGGACGATGGGGCTTTCCCTGTTTTAAGAATCATGAGGCTCTGGAGTCATCCAGAATTAACTTCCAAATCCCTTGTGTACCTCAACAGCTTTCCGGCGATGGCTGTTTACGATGTGCGATGGTGTGCTTTCGATCTGGACGCAAACTTTAGGTTACATGCGAAGAACCTTGGGTGGGTAGCTACCCTGGAGCCGGATGTCCTTGGTCTAATGGAAGCTGCTTGCCTGGAAAGAGCCTTCAGGATGCGAGACGATAACGCTAAATCCGTCGAGAAAGCAGCTGCTCACCAGCTACGGGATGGATCGAGCATCAGAAGAATTCCACGATCCAAGGTACGAGCGTTTCTCACTCAGTCTGAGCTTCCAGTCGCGGGAGATGCAGTCTCTGAACGTTCTGTGTACGCTCGGATTCAAGAAGATATGGGCATTTTGGAGCCTCAATATCCAGAGAAAGATACGAAGGACTCACGACGGAAGAATCGCGTTTCTACTGGGAATATCCAGGTTCGACCACCGCTTTCAAAGCATCGAGCCGCTGAGACCTGGGAGTTCCCTCTATACACGACATTCTCAAAGATCGGGGAGTTGAGAAACGATTTGGATCTAAAGAGAGCGGGTGTTGACATCGGAGATCTGGTTGTGGTAGACAACGAATTGGTCAATTCAGTTCCTATGGTCTCACTTCGTCTTGGTCCCTCGAAGGGATGGCTGCAGGATTTCCCTTACAGCTCTTCAAAGTCAACATACAGCCATTCCAACGCTTCGTCCTCATCCGTCTTTGAATCAGATGATCGGCCGGGTGGGGAGAAACCAGAGGCCCTCGCTTTCATCCGGGTCAAGGCACCAGAACCGGGGGAGAAGATGAAGAGAGTGATGTCAGCAGGTGCAATATTAAGCCCAAATGGTGGACACATCGGCGACGCTTTCGAAGTTTGGGTTGATGCTAAGAAGCGGGCATCATCTCAGAGTACCACCCCTGTGAAGGCGAATCGAGACAATTTCATGAAGAGGAAAAAGCGGAAGATCGGGGATGTATTGAGTTCATTCCTTTGATGGTGTTGTGGTATAAAAATAACATATTGACGGAGCTTAGGGGGTTTGGCGATTTGTTTTGTTGTTTTTAGTGATACCCATGATCTACTCATATAACGAATGTTAATTTATTTTTAGTAGTTCTTGCTTCTACGGAGTGAGATTCGAGGTGAAGATCGCAAACCCGGATTAGTGCACAGCGCAATACTGTGACGGAAGTGCGAAAAGACCATTCAAGTGAACTTCCCTTCTACTATTGGTCCGAGCCTTCCGTGTGCAGCTTCTTAGCTTTAGCTCCTGGCAGCAAAGCTATATAAACTTCCCCAGTTACTTTCCTTACAACCCATCCTCAAGTAACAAGCAGACAGCGCCCTGGTGTTGTGACTGTTGTCATAGAAACGAAAGATTTGGTAATATCTATCCATTCGAACCTTGGCGATGCAAATGAGTTTCTCTGCGAGTATGTTCAGAAACGCAATGTTTTTGAAAGAGATAATCCCACATATCTTTAATGCAACTCACCACTTTTTGTTGTCAATGTCAAGCTTGCTGTCAGAGCGGAAGACGGCCAGTCAGTAGAGATGCGATAATAGTAACAACATCCTTTCATCGATATTGATATCACGTACTTATGCGTAGCACCAAACTCGATTGAGTGAATGAATGGCTTTAATTTTACTCGCATCTTTTCCTAGGTACATGTTTGCCTACCAATACTAATAGATTTGAATCCTTGATCAAACCCCCCACCCTCATTTAAAAACTTGCGAAAGAAAAAAAACAGAATATTATAGAGGTAATCAGCCGATATGGGAGTTACAATTACATACGTATTCTGTATACTTCTTACTTCAATATTCCTGCCCGTAGGAAATGACTCCTATTTCCTCAAACCACCATTCATTCACCCACTCACCTCGGCGCCCATGCATGCTATCATCATCTTCGACCAACCAACCAAGTGCTAATATAAACACCCCTCTACATATCCCCTTCACTTTAATCAATAATTTCAATCAGCCTAAGCTCAGACCCAAGTACCGAGAGCCCAGCAAGCACGAACTTGACTTACTCAAGAAAGCATTCATATTCTGGATGAGGTCAAGAACGTCTACCGAACCGTGACAATTTCTATGGAAAGCAGACTCAGCAAGACAGACATGTGTTAAGATGAAAGGAAGTTTTTCATTGGCGACTTAAGGGACGACACTTCAAATGACAGAGACTACGAAGATAGCAGGAGACTCCTTAAAGAAGAAGGGCGAGAAGGGCAGGCGTCAGCGTCCGTTCCGCGTCCCCTGACTGACATTAAGCGAGATCGAGTACTAACCGAGCTAGCGTCATGATTGATTTCCCGCATTTTACTTTGCAATTCAAGGAGGTACATGGGAGTACATTGAAGTTTTGATCAAGAGTGCAAGATACGTATTTAAAAGAAGAAATAAAGAATTGATACGAGTAAAAGGTAGGAAAAGGGGTGTGGCGTTCAAGCTTTAATTAAGCATTAATAAGCTTTGTAGTTGTTGCAGCCTTGCAAATAGCCAGCCAATTACGGCACATTCCAAAGCAAGGCGCAGGAATCCGGGGAATCTGGATCTTGGTCAGACCACGGCCATCTCTCACCTCCATGAACCCAACGACATTCTTTTTACCCTTCGACAGACACTTCTCAGGAAAATACTCAGGAGAAAGAAAGCATGTATTCCAATTCTTCCACTTCTTCCAATTCCCGCACACCCCACGACTCAACACCCTCCTCCGGAACCATTACCCCCGCGCCCCTCACCTCATCCTGGACCGCCGCGCTCCCCGCAACAGTCAACGGCCTCCTGCGGCGTTTCTCCTCGGAGCCCCAAAACCAACATCAAAATCAAAAATCCCACACGCCGTCCCATTCCCCAACTTTCTCCCCTACACCGCCCACAAAAATGCGCAGCGATGGTGGGGATGGAAGTGGAAGTGGAGAGGGGTGGCAGGGCGTATATACGCCTCCGTATCGGACAGCTAGTCCGTTTCAGCCGCCCCCGCTGTATCCTGTTACTTTGAAAGGCTGGCATGAGGGGACGGCTTCGAGCGCGCGGTTGTTGAGCCGCGGGCTCGCCGAGGAGATCAGATTGCTTGTCCCGCCGCGGTTGCAGCTGTGCGAGGAATGGAATCTGGTGTATAGTCTTGAAGAGGACGGGGTTAGTTTGGGGACTCTATATAAGAAGTGTGATGAGTTGCGCGGTTTGAGGAATGGGTTTGTGTTGGTTGTTAGGGATGGTGAGGGAGGGGTATGTTTATATTTTCCTTTCCCTTTCCCTTTCCATTTTTGTTTCATGTATTTTCCGTTTTCCTGTTTGTTTTTATCGTTGTGGTCAGTGGTTACAGTAAGGGGGAGAGAAAAAAATAAATAAAGGCTAATGATGGGAAATGGGCATAGCTATTTGGTGCGTATTTGACGGAACCACCACATCCAGCACCACATTACTTCGGTACCGGCGAATGTTTCCTCTGGCGCTCTGCCACCCTCTCCTCCACCACGTTGCCCAACCATCTCCCCCCCCCTCCATCCACAGACACGACGAACTTGCAACGCAGCACCACGATCTCCCCCACCGCCTCTTCCCTCCTCTCCCCCACATTCCCCACGCACACAGCGCCAGCACGCCGGAACGCATACGCTTCAAAGCCTTTCCGTACTCGGGCGTTAACGATTACATGATATTTTGCGAGACGGGCTTCCTGAGTGTCGGCGGCGGAGACGGGCATTATGGACTCTGGCTGGATAATAATTTTGAGAAGGGGGTTAGTAGTCATTGCTTGACATTTGGGAATGAGCCATTGAGCGAGGAGGGGGAGAAGTTCGAGGTGCTGGGCGTGGAGGTGTGGAGTATTGGGAACTCGTAGGGAACCTGATATGGCAGGTGTAGGCGGCTAGGAACTTGCAGAGCTTTACGGAGGGATATTTGAGCGGCAATGTGATGTGATGCGAATATGATACCCGTTGGACGTTTTGTGGGCATTTAGGAGGTTTTATTTTGGGATTTGGGATTTGGGATGGGCCATTACTGGGGGTTAGACAAAACATTGAAGACTTTTTACTTAGGTGTCAAAATTCATCTATACCGAACTTTCACGTCCAAATATACCTTTTAATAGCGAGGAGAATGTCTCCATGGGCTTGGAAAGATTGCTGTCAGCAACATATCATTAGGTATCTGTCGAGTTTTCCATCTCCACCTCCGCTTCCAGATCATAGTTCCATACACACAACAACTTATCATAGAAGCTAGTACTAACAATAAGCCGTTTCGGAGATCCTCCCACAGATCGTGGCAAAGCTTCAATCGGCGCAACATCGCAGGCGTAACACATACTCTCGTGGATAGTAACCTTCGCTAGGATCCTAAAAACACAATCCTCACCCGAGTCGGAAATTTCCAATTCTATTATCCTGGCCCCTGAAATCATGGGAAGGTAACGTATAAGCAAAGCAGAGCAAAATTTCTCTCTCGAGGGCTCAATTGGGACATTCAAAACTTACCAGCATGCATACAAGATGCCAAGATCTTATATCTCGTCACACCGTCCTTGCTCTGGCCGTCATTTAGGAGCTTCAAGCGCCAGACTCCGCCGCCCTCGACTTTCAGCGCCGTTTTAGGTTCTATACAATTGCAACAATGTATTGTCTCAGTAAAGGCTGGTATGAAACATTGGGAGAACAGGAAGGAATGGCAACTTACGTCCTCGGAAGTCGCCGCTGAATAATCGAATGTGTTCGTCATAACTACCCGTGACCAGGAATTGTGTCCCCGGTAGTGGTAAAATAGCCGTAACTCCTGCATCGTGTGCACGGGAATTCTGGGACTTGTTTGAGGTGGTTATATCCTCTCCGTTTTCGACGGCAGAGTGCATGTTCGAGATTCCGGTGATTCGGAGAGTGCTGTCGTCGCCGCCGGTATATATTTGCGGTTCAGTGGGGGTGGAGGAGAAGGCACAGCACCATGCCTCGATAGGACTATGTATATTAGCATCTATAAGAGTTTTGGGAATTGAGAGCCAATTTGAGAGTTGCGGGGGGCATATATAGATAGATCTATCTGGGGACATCCCAGTATTGTATTGTCTCAAAACATGTGAAGGATTCTTCAACTCACTCATCCATCAGCTTGTGCTGCACTATTGCTGCGTTCTCATTCATGAATTCGTACGCCGAGAAATCCCAGCTGGTAAAGCGTACTAGATGGGCCCCGCCCTTCGAAGTGGTGACTATGAGGAGTGGAAGGTGACGAGTCTCGAGTTTCGGATACCAAGTCAAGGAAAGTATCAGCGTATCTGTATCGAGTATTTGGTGAGTACTAATGTGCCGCATTGTATAATCCCCATTTTCCCCGGAAGAGGGGACGTCGTATATAGATACGGCTCCAGTGCTCGAAGCCACAGCAAATATGGGAATCTGCAACTTGACGGGACAGAAATGGAGGTCTGGAATAGCTGATGGATATGAAACGACTTTAAGTAGTGTTCTAAAAGCAAAGTCAGATTCAGTCTGAGCAAATCCAAAGTCTTGGAGAAGTAGTTTGGACATTCGAGATGAGCGCCTGGATGCGTGAAAACCTAACCTACAGTTTGCCGTCTTCTAGTTGGAAAAGATTCAAGGTTCCATCCCTCGATTGCGCTTTCGAACGTTCCAGTTCCTGTGAGGCATCTTTCTGTAAATTGTACGTCCCTATAATGAAGTACAGGGCTTCTGTATCCCCTCCCACGGGCACAAACTCGATACAACTAGGAGGTAAATCGAGGATTTGCGAGGCTACTGGATCCAAATTTTTGCTGGCAGCCCGTCGAGCCACCTCTTTCCAGTCTCCTTGGTCCATTTGATATGAGTGTTATATCCAAAGATCGTGAATGAAGATTCGTGGTTGTTAATAGTGTTGTCGGAAAATATCCTGCAAGGCTGAGACATTGAGGGGAAGGCTGACGGGATTTTCTTTCTGAAACATGGGGGAGGGTCCGAGCGAAAGGGGCCGCGATTGCTCCCTTCTTCCACAACCGTTCCGTTCATCGGCCTTCTTTCTACACCTCAAAATGTCTCATTGAGATCTCAGCTATTCTTTCTCATCTACATAGATGTGGAAAATTCCAGTTTTTTCTTAATAATGCACCTCAAACAGTAAATTCCCAACACGTCTTTGGGCCAGTCAGTTCACGCGTCGAGAGTAGCAAACTTCCAATCTCCAGACCGCCATTCTTCCCTCGAAACCATCATGGCAATCAGGAAAGGAGCAAAAGTTGTTAGGCAGGAAGAGATGGCCTATCTGTCAGACGATTCAAGCTTTTACGGTACCTTAAATCGCTATTCCCCTTTTCAAACAACACAAGGCTGACTGTGTAACGTCAGGTGACGAAACTGTCCAGAAAGACATGGAGGAGCGAGCAAGCAGTTTCAAGCCGACAGAATGGTGGGAGCATGCGGCTCCTTCTTTGACCAAGATAGCTAGTACAAATCTTGCATCCGCGACGGTAGCTAAGGCTCCTAAGCTGTACAATCCCTACGAAGGAAACCCCTGCGGTCGACAGCTGAACGAGAGCGTGGACGAGTTCTTACGTCGGCTTCCTCCTGCTTCAACACCAACCTCAAGCCGGGTTCCTTGGATCTTCGTTGCGAATCCGTATAGGAAAGCACCGAAGCCCAATAATGAGGGAGAACTCGCTGAAGGGCCTCCGGATGACGATAGTCAGTGGGCGAAGTTCGTGGTGGAAGGCGGGAATTTGTTGGAGGAGTTGGTGGTTCTGAAGAATAAGATTGAGAAGGAGAAGGCTGGTTCGACGAAGGCTACTATTACGAAAGCCCTCAATGTTCAGAGGAATATTATTGTTGAGAAATTGCTTGATACTGCTGTTGAAATGCACTGTACATCTGGAAAGGTCAGTCAATCGCATTACTGTACGTCTCCGCGCTGATTTTGAGGCTAGTGGATGATATTTTGTCCGCCGGAAGAAGTCAATGATGTTTGGGCTGTTGTGGCTCGTGCTACAGTTGATAACGATCTGGGAATTGCTGCTAAAGTCGCCCCTGACAATGGCGAGGACCAACGGCCACGGCTCATGTGCATTTACACGAAAGATTTTTCGGATAGGGCCGATGTGACGAGAGTTGTACAGAAGTTAAAGGAGCTTGGTCTTATTGAAACTCGTGGCAGTAAAATCTACTACAAATGTGGTATGTATTCCTGCTCCAGTTCTGCCAGCTTACCCAATTGACATGTCTGTCCACAGATGCATACACCTTTCTCGGTCTAGGCTCCAAGAACGAATACCAGATCCAAGCGTCTCTCTACAACTCTGGAGATTTCTTAGGCTCCAAAAGACCGGCCTCGAAGGGCAAGGAAAATGGATACTTCTACAAGAAGAAAGATCATGGAGACTGGAAATCTATGGAGTATGAATGATTGCTTTCTTGATATTGATACCCATTTTGCAATGTTGCAGCGGAGGTTCGATGTTAGCAGGCGAATATTGCTCTGATGATACACCCATTTGCTGAATGATCTCAATACATACCTTTGAATCATAATCTCGTGAATTCGTTATCTCGTTATATGCAGCGCCCCTCTAATGCACCACCTGGTAATTTCCTCCATAAATGAATGCCCAACCATCTAATACCGCTATCCAAAGCCAGCAAAACCTCATCCCAAGACAAACCCCCCTACCTAGCCAGCCCACCGGTTGATCTATGCCTTACCCCACCTACCTACCACTAAACCTGCCCATCCCTCCCCATATCCTCCACGCCCCTCAAAAACAGCACCAACCTATACGCACTATTCCCGTTCAAATAATACCGACTCAGCTTCTTACTCCTCAAGAACCCCAGCCTCTCATATAGCCGCATCGCACCCCCATTTCCCTCCTCCGTCTCCAGCACCACCTCATCCGCGCCACGGTCCCGCATCTCCTCGATCGTCTTCTGCACTAGCGCCGTCGCGATGCCGTGGTTCCGCGACGCGGCCGACACGGCGAGCATGGCGATGTAGCCACGCTGTGTGGTGGGCGTCGGGGAGCTAGGGAGCGCGGAGTTGTGCGGTTCGAGTTTGGAGATTATGACGCCGAGGAGGCTAGGGGGGGTGGTGGTGGGGTTCAGGGCCTGGTGTGGTGCGTCAGCGGGTGTGTGTTTTGGGGGGAAGAAGAGAAGATGGGATGAGGGATGTACCATGAAACATAGATCGCCCCATTGGTAGAGGAAGAAGCGATATACGTAGATGCTGTATGGCTCGCTGAGGTCCTTTGAGATGAGGGCGCGTATCGAGGGCAGGTATTGTTTTTCGAGCGTGTGCGAGTATTGGATGTACTGGACTTCTGGTGGTAAGGCCGCTTCTTTGGATTGTGGCTCGGCGGAAGAGGAGTTGGAAATGGAAGGGGAGGACATAATTGTGGTTGTTGCCATTGTAGGAGGGAGTGAAATGTTAGAGCAAAAGAAGTGGTTCCCGGTTCGGTCGGTATGTCTTTCACATGCGTGCGTTGGAATATATTTATAGCGCGGGGTAATTGTTTCCCTGCCAACATATTTCACCCCTTTTTTTTGTTTACATGCGTATTAATGAGATGTCTTGATTAATTATCTCGCATCTCACATTACAGATATATGAATGGAAAGCTTAGTAGATGCAAGTACGACAGTTGTCTTGTATGTCGTTTCCGCGTGGTCAAGGAGTTAATTATTCTAACAGCCTTATTCTAAATACTTCACCCCTCTGAAACATTAAAAACCCCAATCTGATATATGAAGCATTTTATGTATCATGCCAAATATAGTTCTACGCTTCCATTCAACAAGTGATCATATTAGTTCTCGGCGAATTACTCATTCAGACGTTGGTCAGTAAATTGTAGGGGACAGAGTCGTCCATTTAGACAGAAGATCCTCGACGACTAAGCTTCCTTCCTGCTCTGGATCCATACCATGCGAAATATGATTATCATGATATAGATCGATGCCCTTGAAATCACTCCCATCGCTTTCATACTGCCGAACTTCTTGTTCTTCGGCGAGTCTCATAGCTTCAGCAGCGATTCCTTCCTCAACATCGAAGTCGCTGAAGAAGGTCGTGGACGGTTCCTCTGTTGGAATCTCGGAGAGACCAGGTGCCTTTCCTTGTTTAAACTGAGATCCATCTGGCGTAGATGGAGTGGGGAAAAGGCTATCAAAGATAGTCACGTTTGACGATTTCGCAACAGGCGTATCGATGAAAGGCTCGTAGGCGGAATAACTCCGTACGTTGTGCTTTGGTGATGATATCTGTGGGATTGAAGCCTCTGTGGTGTTTTGATTCCCGTCCGCCACATTTTCATTTTGCTTCTCTCCCTTCAGAATCCCAGCTCTCGCCAATTCCTTCAGTCGAGCTTCGAGGTTTTCAACGGCTTCGGCCTTGGCATCATTTGAGGCATTTGCAAAATCTTCGCTGAGTCGGTTTATCTCTTCAGTATGGATCCTCTCTAACGTAAGCCGTAGTTGTTCGTAACCCAGGGAAGACAACTCGCTAAGTTTGGAGGCGGCTAGATGGTGTCCAAGTACATCATTAAGGAGTTGGAAACACAGAAGAAGCTCCCCTATGAGAGTTTGATGCTTAATAGCAGGGACGGCTGGAGTCTCAGATGACTGAGATATCGGGTCCATGCCACAGGCTCCGGTGACAAGTACCGACGTGGTTATGAATGCATTCAAGCCTCTTGAAGAATTCGCGCTTTCTATCGACATTTGTAGGGCATGATATCTGCGCTTGGTCTCTTGCTCCGAGCGAGCAAGACTCTCGATGAGATGCTTTTGGTAGGCAAAAGAGGAATCGGCGGCCTTTCTGGAACTTGTTAAAAATCATGCTGGGATAAGTCCGCGACTGGTGACTTACCGGCTCGAAATGTCCCTAGCATAGCTTAATACTTGAAGCATCAATGCCAGTGAAGCCTTCAACCTGTCCAAGTTGCTTCTTAAGAGCTCCATTTTGTTTTGCTTGAAGGGCCATTTCAGTTTCTCAAGAGCTACTCTGCCCCGCTTTGCTTTCCCCTTATCCTCTAACATCCCTAGATTTCTCAAACTCCTATCCAATGCATAATCGAGTTGCTCAAAAATAGACATGCATTCTTTGACAGTTTGCCTCGTGGCCTCAAGTGCATTCTCAGAAACAACATGCGATTCATCGGCTTGAAGGATCTGACAGAGCTCATTCAACACCGTGGAAGTAAGAGAGACATCATTAGAGATTTCCTGAATGGAAGTATCTGCGCTAGAAACAGCCTTGCTGAAAGTAAAGAGCTTGACACTGAGCTTAAATCCGAAGTCTGCAAGCTGTACGACGGAGGCTACAATGCCAATAGCCGCAATAGCCTCAGCCATGGCCGTCAATTTGAGAATGCCATATAGACGCGAGGAACAATATGGACTTCAAAGGAAATGTCATTGCAATGGGATGGGATGGGGATTGAGGGCACTGGGCATTTTGCCATTTGATTAGGCTCAGCCACATGCGTGCCTACCTAATGCAAGGCTAGCAAGTGAAGTATAAATAGAGTGAAAGAATCGTGCGTGTACCTAGTCACGGGGTGTGTATTTAGTAATCGACTTCGAAGCCCCACGTCACTGCATGTGCATGTGTACCTGAGGAGCTTGAGCTAAGCTTCAAAACAAATCCAACAACAACAACTCCATGAGAACAACGACGAAGATTTTCAAATTTCTGAGCGTGACACCTTCTCTCTTTAATGTCCCTCGCCCTTTCCTACACCTCCCTCCAAGATGTCCTCCCTGCGCCGCCGTCTCTCAGGAACCGCCAAATCCGCGCCCACCGAAGACTCCCCCGCCAAAGCCGAACAGGTACGCCTCGCGCCTGAGTCAAAAATCATAGACTCCCAGCACCCGAAAAGTCTCAAGCGGCGCAATGGCCTGATATTCTTTCTCGGTGGACTCTTTGGGATCGTCGTCGCCGGCTTCTTTGCCGGACAATCCGATCTAATTGATTTCCCGGAGCTAGGAGACCTAAGCATGGACAGCTTGATGGATGTTTTGCCTGCCAGCTTTGTGCGGGATGCTCGAGACTTGGTACAGGGAGAACGGGATGCTGTGAACTATGATTCTTTTGCAGTGGGGTTGAACTTGGTCGCGCAGGGATTCAAGGCCGAGCATCCGGTCATCATGATTCCGGGAGTGATATCTACGGGATTGGAGAGTTGGGGAACGACGAACAGCTCGCGGCAGTATTTTAGGAAACGGTTGTGGGGAAGTTGGAGTATGATGAGGGCGCTGGTGCTGGATAAGGAGAGTTGGAAGAACCATATCATGCTGGACAAGAAGACCGGGCTGGATCCGGAAGGTGGTATCAAATTGAGAGCTGCGCAGGGTTTTGATGCTGCGGATTTCTTCATTACTGGTTATTGGATATGGAGTAAGATTCTGGAAAATTTAGCCACGATTGGATATGACCCAACAAATAGCTTCACAGCAGCTTATGACTGGAGACTATCCTATGCGAATCTCGAAGTCAGAGATCAGTATTTCACGAGGCTAAAGATATATATCGAGATGGCATGCAAGGTCTCGGGGGAAAAAGCGGTCCTTATTTCACATTCTATGGGTGGTCAGGTGCTGTTCTATTTCTTCCATTGGGTCGCATCCGCAGATGGAGGCGCTGGGGGTGATGATTGGGTTGACAAGCATGTTGATTCTTGGATCAATATCAGTGGATGTTTGCTGGGTGCGCTGAAAGGTCTCCCAGCTGTCCTTTCGGGGGAGATGAAAGACACAGCTCAACTGAACGCCTTCGCTATTTATGGACTGGAGAAATTTCTCGGTCGAGAAGAACGAGCCGATATCTTCAGAGCCATGCCAGGAATCAGTTCGATGCTTCCGATTGGAGGAAACACCGTATGGGGAAATCACACATGGGCACCTGACGATCTCCCAGGGCAGAAAGTCAGTTTCGGGCCAATATTGAATTTCAGAAATGTAAATGGTTCAAGGTATCAGAATCTGACGGTGGATGACAGTCTTGAGTATCTTATGAATAACAGTGAGCCGTGGTACCAGGACATGGTGAAAGGTAGCTATTCCCACGGTATTGCGCACACCACTGGAGAAGTGGAGGCGAATGAGAAGGATCCGAGAAAATGGATTAACCCTCTGGAGACGCGTCTGCCTCTTGCCCCAAATTTGAAAATCTATTGTTTTTACGGTACGCCGTCATACCCCCTTACTCAATTTATGATACTAACAAAAATAGGAATCGGCAAGCCGACCGAACGTTCCTACTTCTACCGCCAACCCGAAACACCTTTGTTGTCCCTCAACATAACCATCGACACTACGCTAACGCAAGATAATATTGACCACGGCGTTATTATGGGCGAAGGCGATGGGACCGTCAATTTACTTTCCAATGGCTACATGTGCAACCAGGGTTGGAACATGCACCGCTACAACCCCGCCGGAGTAAAAGTCAAGGTCTACGAAATGCCACATGAGCCTGATCGTTTCAGCCCTCGTGGTGGGCCAAAAACTGGAGACCATGTAGATATTCTCGGTCGCCAGAGCTTGAACGATTTGATCCTGAGGGTCGCAGCGGGGAAGGGCGATGAGATAGGAGAGAATGTCGTCAGTGATATCAAGACGTACGCGGATAGGATAGATATCAGGGAAGAGCCGGAGTATCTGTGATAGAGGTGATTAAGAAGAGTAGAAATGTATAAACGAGAAAGAGGTATATGGGCCTGGACACTTTACGTGGAGTTTTGGGTTTGACAGGTTTCATGAATGGATGCATACGTCGGGGCGGTCTCTTATCTTAACTTTGAATTTATACCCCGATAGACTTTAAATCTAGATCACAATACATTTGATGTATATAGTGGATGCATAAATCTTTTTAGTCTATCAGTATTCTGTTCTTCTAATGTACGCGGTGATAGTGCCGCTGGTGCTTGTTTGCCCTTGATGTTTTCCGTTCAATTATAAGAGTATGAGAGTATACTGGATATCTATAAAATATATATGCTACTTCCGGCTATAAGACTTTAGAAACCCCCCTCCACCATCCACCATCCCAATCCCCCCATTCACTCCATCCTCCATCCACCATCCACCATCCCAATCCCCCATTCACTCCGCCTCCACCTCCACCTCCCTCCAACCACCCACGGCTACGCCTTCCTAAATACACGTACCGCCTGGTTCTCCGAACCTCTACGTAGTCCAGAATAAGAACTACGTACCCACAAAATAGGTTCTACGTCGCTTGGTTGGTGTAGTGGTTAGCACATCTGTCTCACATATGATGGTTATCTACTAAAGGTACCTATTTGGCACGTTATGCGAAACCTTTTTATTCATTCGGAGAATATAAGTATATGTAAAGCGAGCTGATTCTCTTGTCGCCTCTATTTATTCGTTCCACCTCTCGTGTATCTATCTTTTACAACTAATGTTTATTTACCTACACGTGACAGCCCTCGACAAAGCCCCTTTTGTGACACAAGAGAGATTAGTTTCACTCTGGTACCTGGCCACCTAGCTAATATCTTATTGATTTCGACCCCCCCAAGGGCCTCAACAGATTTTAAGCTCCCAATGTATTAATACCCCTAAGATTTTATCTCTAGTTTCACTTTATTTCTTCGGTTTTTGTTGGTATCACAGGAGTTTCTATCGTGATCACTTCTCTAGTACGTAATATATAGACTTGATTCTGGTTGATGTTGCTTGGCATTCATGGTGGTGCTGACGCGAAAAGAGGTTATGTCTCTTTGCTGACTAAGCCAAGCCAGGTCACATGACTAGAAAGGTCGGGATACAGTTTATCATCCCAACAGTTTTTGTTCAAGTTATTTGAAAATCGACAAGTGCATATATTCATTAATTCATTACATAAGTCACGGTCAGCCTTCGAACGCCAGTCCCACACCCTAATCCCCATCACATCCAAATCATACAGATACTCATCACTCGTAGCAGGCTCAGGCGGTAGCTTGAACGATCTTAAATCCTCCCGCCACCAACTTCGTGATATCCTCGTTCTTATGCTGCAATAGACTGAGAGCATATGCAACGTCGTTCCACTGTCTCTCCGTCTCGCATCTGGCAAGACGGGCGGCGAGTTTGTCAGCGAGCTGTTTGGCGTGTTTATCCTATTTCTCAAGTTAGCGTTCCGTTTGTTCGCTTAAGTGCCGATCTAAGGCTTGTGTATGGCAGAGCGGAGGAGATAGCCCAATTCTCCTCAGTCTATGGGTACTGCAGCATTTGATCGGGGCCCGGTGATTGGTTTTCAGGCTGCAGCACATCGGGGACTAGCCTAATTCTCCTTAGTCTGTGGCACATACCTTTTCGATAAACCCTGCCAAGAACTTGATAATTCTCCGCAACGAATCTTCCTCCAAATCCTTCTCCGCAGACAGCAAACTGAACATATCGACGAAGTGATTATACACCGCATTATCCTTCGTACTCAGCTCAGTGAAGAACATTCTGCTCAGATCCGCGATGCGCTTATCATCGTCTTCCAGACACTTAGCCATTTCTCCTAATTGGCCCTTGACCTTGACTTGACCGGCAAGAATGAGGAACGTGAGCGTCATCAAGCAAGTGCGTTTGACACTCGCATCCTTGTCGTTGAGACGTCGGTATAAGAAGTCGGTATTCTCGTCGATGAGGTGGTTGAAGCAGACCGCCATATCACCAAGAGCGAGTACGACGTTTGATCTGGTGATTGGGTCCTTGGATTGCTCCAGGATTGTGATGAGTAGAGGGAGATTGGTCTCGCAGTACTCCGAGCTGACACACATGAGTTTGGCCATACAGAGGGTGGCTGCTGCTTGCAGGTCTCGGTCTTTGTAAGTCGTGTTATTTGAGCAGATCTCAGATACCAAAGGACCGAAGTTAGCAAGGAGAGAGCTTTCGCCGTACAGAAGCTCCCGTTCACGAATATGGGCCATTGCTTCGGTGAAGTCATCTTCAGTCGTACCACCAATCATGTCTAGATCATCCGCTGCCTCTTTGGCAGCCTTGTCTGTAGGTGTTTCTGAAGTAGGCTTGTTCTTTTCGGCTTCGGCTTTCCTCCGCTTGAAGTCAAGTTCGCAGAGTTCTAGGTGGACGATCTGTTTGATGGCAACGTGACCAACGATGAAAAGAAGCTGAGATAATGCAACAGCTCCCTTGAGTTTCTTCTCAGGCTCAGCAGCTTCCTTGGGCTCGGGCACTTCTAGTTGCTCTGGAGGTGGCGATGCAAGGTGTGATGCTTCGTCAATTTGCTCGGGCTCAGGAGTTTTTGCTATTCGTTGCTGGAAGACATGTCGGGTCTTTCTCTTCAAAATCTCAGAGCAAAGAGTATCAGGGTGCTTTGACAAAATGTAGATGGCACTAATAGCCTGCTCAGCAACACCATACCATTCCTTGTTGTCAGACTCAATCTCAATGATTGCAGCTAGCTTGATTAGAATCGCATGATCGTCTGTAAGCTTAGAGGGCTGTACGCTTGTTTCCTTTGCTTGTCGACCGGTAGGATTGATGCGTCGAAGGGCAATACATGTATACTTGGCCAGTTGTAGATCCGATCGACCAAGACTTCCAAGACCAATTCGAAGCATAGTCTCCATCTCGCCAACCACAATCTCCGGTTTCGCTGTTGCAAGCATACCAAGAACAATGATGGCACCTCGTCGTTGACTCTTTGAGATCTCCCTCTTTTGAACACCGTAGACCTGCCACAGCTTCTGTACAACAAGCTCGGAAATATGGTTGGCCTTCATCATGGTGCTGAGGAGTTGCTCTAAGGAGGTCAACTCCGCAGGAGTAGCACCAAAGGTCAAACTGATCATATTCCTAGCAATGTAGTTGGCGGCATCATTGCTGTTGTAAGAATCTGGGGCTTCAAAAAATAGTCGCTTGTAACACTCAATGAGGTGATTCTGGACACCCTTTCCCTCATCGCTATTTCCTTTGGTCCAGATAAGTCGCAACATTCGTCGAATGCCCAGTTTGTTCTGCTCGATATTATAGGCGTCACCAATCTCAAAATAATCCATAGCCTCGGTTACTTCACTCTTATTCTTCGAGCCGAGCAACTGGCAGATAGTGGTGGTTGCTCCATGTAGAACTTCAATAAACTTGAGAGCTTCGACATAGTATCTCCTCGTAAGGGTCAGCTTGTTGATAGCTTCTGAGGTTGCAGCCTCCTCTTGGGCCTTCTTTACAGCCGCAATTTTGTGCTCATCACTCATTGGCTTTTGTGGGGAGTCTGATTCAATCTGCGTGGCCTCGTCTAGTAATTGGGTATCCACAATGTTATCTGCTCTACCGGAAAGACCTGGTGTATCAACTGGAGGCTTGAGAGCGTTCAGTTCAGCGTCCACTGCCTCCAATCGAGAGGTCCACTCCTTCATTGACAACTGTGATCCGTGCATAATGCTGAAGGGATGAGTTTTGATCAAAGCTCCGAGAAGCTTGATGGCATTCCGACGAACGTTGCTGCTCTTGTCTTCCAGACTCCTCGCTGCTAATTCTGCGGCCTTTTGTCTCCTCTTTGGGAACTTTTGTTCCAGATCGCATAATTTTACATAGACTTGGATTGTTCGACATCTGCAGTAAGGGTTGGTGTCGAGAAAACGCTCCTCTAGGACATCGAAGAAAGCATTTAGCTGTGACTTGTGGTTGTCACCACGTTCTTCCTGCCTACTGAGATCGGCGACCAAGTTTCCACAGACTTCGATGAGTGCACATCGTAGTGCGTAAGACTCACTGTCCAGCTGTTTTGCCAACATGGTCATTTGCTTGATGACTAGCCTAGGAGCAAGCTCAGAGAGCTTCACAATGAATGAGGAGACAGACTTTGGTCCCCTTGTATCATTGCTGTTGAATTCCTTATTACTGAGCTCTCGAAGAACTTCGTCGGCAAGTTGAGGGTAGTCGTATTGTTCTGCGAGAATGTGGAGAAACTCGGCCATCGGCTCCGCAAGATGCTCAAAATAAGTCAAGTTTTGCACAATAGAGATTTGCGCAGCTAGATATGGGCATTAGTACCTTGTTTCTACCCAAGACCAAGAATTGCCTTACCATAACCGTGCCCATGATGTTTGACCGCTATGCACAGAACCTTGAAGGCGTGCATCCGGATTGCGGTATTCTTGACCCTCTGTTCGCTCTCCAACACCATGTACACAGGCCGAGTAAATAGGCCAACAAACGTGTCTCTCTCGGATGTAGTGAGGAATATTTTCGAGAGCTTCAACTTCAGTACCTTGCACATGATGTCAAGTGCAGTCTGTAGCTGAGCTGACGAGTCCCAATTCCCATCTTTATCCTTTCCAGAAGCCGCCTTAGCCTTTGCGCCCTTCCCTCGTCCGCGAGCCGCAGGGGCCGTACTCGATTTCTCCGCCGCTTTCGTCTCGACCGCCGCGATCGTCCATTGCAGGAGGAAGCCAAAGACTTCCAGGAGCTGCTTGTGGTGTGTGACGATGTCTTGCTCGTCCGATTCGAGGTCGTTGTGGATGACGTCCGCTTCGGTCGATAGGCCTGAGACGACAAGATCTAAAATCTTGCTCAGTGCATGTGTAGGTAGGATGGTGGATGATCTAGATAGTTTGAAGAGTTCAGAGTCTGGTTCTGTTGTGAAGTTGTGACTGGATTTAGGGGAGACTGGGGCGCACTTTAGTAAGAACTGCAGAGAGTCAAAAGAAGAGCTTCTTGTAATAGAATCTGGATTCTCTGCTACTGAATCAACAATGGGATTCAGCACAGTATTGATCAGGGAGTTAGTGAGTGACTCGGGGTCGTTTTCGCAATCGACGAGGTTGGAATCCGCTTCTGGTGTGGAAATGGTGAGAGGATCGCTCATGTAGTGCTTAAGAGCATCGTTGATATCAAAGGCGATTGTATCCATAATAACGGTATATTCGCAGTAGTCTACTGCGCAGGTACAGACATCAACAAATTGTCATTGCCTGCGGAGTTGTATTGGGTTCGTAGTGTTTTGATAACTTGCGGGAGTCGCGTTTTTTATTGACTTTTGACCGAAACGGGATTAGCTGATTTATGCATCATCAACAACCCCGCGAAACAAGTTGATCTTGACTGAACAATCAATTATACAGGCTTTCTGGATTCACTCATTTTTCGTGGGAAGAGTCTATTGTTTCTAGTCTGTACTTGAAGCTTCACTGCTTCGATATGACTGCAATTCGTTCACGAAACGCGAAAATATCTTTCGAGATCCACCACGACGAGCTGGATAGGACCGAGTCTTTGGATGGGGAGGACCAGGCTATGGAGGAATCACGAGACGAGAGGGGGGATGTGCAGGAGGAAGAATACGAAGATATCTCTGATGAGGAAGAGGTCGCCGATCCTGTGCTGCAGGAGGATATGCTCAAGTTTCAAGAGACATTCAAGGGAATAAGAGAACGTTTTCGATTGATTGGTCGCATCGGAGAAGGTATGTCAAATTCACATCTATAATTGTGTCTATATTAACGCGACTTAGGCACATTTTCAACTGTGTACAAGGCGGAGGATCTTCTGTATGAGCAGTATCATAATGAATGGGATCTCGAAGAAAAGGAAAACTCCCAATGGACATCACCACCCTTGAGGAAGCGTAGAACGGGACTGCAGCATGCATTGGCGAATATCGACGAGTACGCTCAACAGAGGCGGCGGCCCAAATACGTTGCTATCAAGAAGATCTATGTCACGAGCAGTCCATTGCGAATTCTCAATGAGATTGAGCTACTCAGCAAGCTTCAGGGCTGCGATTCCGTGTGCCCTCTAATCACAGCATTTCGGCATACGGACCAGGTCGTTGCGGTCTTGCCTTATTTCAAACATACTGATTTCCGGGATTACTTCAGGATGATGACGGTGCCAGACATGCAAATATACTTTAGGTCACTCTTTACGGCGCTGAACGCAACTCACGAGGAAGGAATTCTACACCGAGACATCAAGCCTACCAACTTTTTGTACGATCCAGCCAAAAAGCGCGGTGTGTTGGTTGACTTTGGCTTGGCTGAGAAGGAAGGGTCAGACTACAAGCCATGTCTTTGCGAAGGAGGATCTTCAAGGCATGACGAGCGACGACGCCGTCTCCATAATAGTGTTGCGGTTGGAATGGGACCTTCAAACGGTTATCCCAAGAACGATTCCCGGCCCTCTCGACGCGCAAACCGTGCTGGTACGCGTGGGTTCCGAGCACCAGAAGTATTATTCAAGTGCACAGCTCAGACCACCAAGATCGACATATGGTCAGCTGGCGTTATGCTCCTGACTATCTTGTCCCGGCGGTTCCCCTTTTTCAACTCAGCTGATGATGTCGAGGCTATGATTGAGATAGCTACGATCTTTGGCATGAAGAAAATGAAGCAATGCGCGTACCTTCACGGTACTATGTTCGAGAGCACTATTCCGACTATCAGCGAGAAAGGCTTCAGTATTGAGAAGATTATCTTATGGTCAACGTGCAGGAACGACGGCGGGAAAGATGGAGGCGAGATTCCCTTGACGGATGAAGAAAAGCTGGCTGTGCGATTCCTTGAGCGCTGCTTTGAACTTGACCCGAACAAGCGCATCAGTGCTGCGGAGGCGCTGGAGCACGATTTCTTGAGGGAGACGGTTTACTCTGATGACGACGACGAAATGCATATGGTGGGAGCTTGATAGTTGTGTAGATACCATGGGAGGCGTTGCTGAGGGCGTATGGTTATCGCGGCATTAGAAGGCGTTTTGAGTTCACGTATATATTAGCATTGCTATGGCATCTGTCTTGTAATTTCAAGATACCAACATAGCTTCACAGTGTAATTTAGACAATAATCACATCACAAGCATCTTGTACTCAAACATGTGATCTAGAAGCTTGGTTTTGTGCTTTTCATTCATATGAACTCCCGTAGCGATAGCTCATGCCAATCTGCATGCATGCATGATGAAAAATCCAGCCACAAGTTCATGAATTTCGCATGCCCAAATCCCATAGAAGAAACCCGAACCACGCTTTCCATTCATGCAACCAATTCAACAACACCGCCAGCCTCAGTGATCTTTCGCTCCGCCTCCTTGCTGAACCATCTCGCGCGCACTACCAATGGGACTTCAGGGATTCGGCCCTTGCCGAGAACTTTCGAGTAGCCGAGGGGGAGGAGGTCGAGAACGGGAACGGTGTCGGTCTTCTTGCCGACGAGGTATTCGTCGCGCTTCTCGGCGGGGACAAGGGACCAGAGCTGTGGTTCGGTGCGTTAGCATAAGTTCTTCACAAGACCATCAATCCAACACCGTCTCTCATATTGCAGCATTTCAACCATCGGTCGCCTTCTTTCCTTCGTCGCACTTTTCTCGTGTTCCAGATTCCCATCTCAACCCCTCACAAAATAATGAATTCTCCAATTGTGTGAAAACGTACCTTATCAAGGTTGATAACAGGCTTCCAGAAGTGGTTGCCCTGCTTGTGGAAATACCGCATTCCGACCTTTCCAAAGTAACCAGGATGGTACTTGTCCATGTTTGTTCTGTGGTGATGTTGTCCACCAGCCAGACCTCGTCCACCGGGATGCTTGCGATGCTTTCCTACACGACCGTGTCCGGCGGAGACGTGACCGCGGCTGTTTTAACAGATGTCAGCATATATCCTCTCTATTCCATCATCCTCCATCGTCACGTCCATGTCCATATCCTCCCAGCTCATTGCATTGTGCGAAATATTTCAAACGGCCTCAGTACGACCCCTCTATGCATTTGCGACCTCCAAAATGTGATGCGGATGATGGTCAAGGGACAGCGGATAGGAGTAGAAGTAAACGTACTGCTTGCGGGTTTTGCTTAAGTGGGTAGGCATCGTGAGGGGATTTTGTCGATGCTGTTGTCGTGGAACTTCTGTCGGGAGGTTGATTTGCGATTTTGGGGAAATTTTGTCGCTTGGTTTGTGTGCACGCTAACCGCGGTTTTCTGTGGGCCGTGAGGCATAAATCACATGACTATCTTCCAAATGCTCTGAGATATTCTTCGTTCTTTTTTGATCTGTGGTACATGTGATGGTCTTTTACATGGCCATGAGTTCATAATCTATCATCCACCTTATCCTTATATCTCAAAATATTTTGGTCACTCAGTACCTATCCAACGCTCTCTCGCAAGTGCTTTTTACTAAAAGCACGCTAGGAAATTTCGAGACACTTCTCTATCAAGTGGCAGTGGCAGACGATGAACCTTTCCCTTTTCTCACAAATTGATTTACAAATCTGGACTTTGCTCATCGACAGACACCTTTTGGCTTGGATCTGGCAGATCTATGGTAGGATATGGTGATGGCTGAGCTCGGGCTCTTTCTGGGCTGCTTTCAAATCCGGTTGCCTACCTAATGATATAGTATCTGCAGAGGGATTAGATGGAAATTCATTTAAGCATTCGCAGAAACATAGACTCATTGCAGTATTAAATGCAGTATCCCACTACTCCGCGTGACCGGCCACTAGTAGCGCCGTCTGGGACTATAAGAAGCCCTTCCTATAACATAGCTCTTGATACAAAACGGCAAATCCAGACAGAGTCGAAAAAAATCCGACTAGTTGAGTGAGGAACAGTTCACTCTAATACATGCTATATAGAACGAAATCCAGCATATTACTAGAAGCTGTAAGAACATCTTCATCTGATTTCTCACAGCAAAAGACATGAACCTACTATACAAGTGAGTAAACATGAATCCTAAAAATTCCCTATAAAAATACAACCAATAACTGTGAAAAATTGCACAACAGCGAACGTTTCCATCGCATGACCACTAAATTCACTGCGCAACAATTCACATAAGTGACAAATCCAAACCTCTTTACCCTACTATCAAAACCCGTCTCACGGAATAATCAACTATTAGAGACACAGAACGTTTGTAAAGACAGAACGTGCCGGCCTGCATGTACTGAAGTTCTTTGTACAATCCAGTGTTATGGTTTGTGCTTGAGAAGGGTTATGGGTGTTTATATAGGGAATATTAGGGAGTAACTAGAGAGATGAATAAGTCATATGGACAAAAAGGTGCATATGTCGCCTTGTATGTGAATCATTGGGTTATCTGTAGTTATTGAAGGGATGGCCGGCTGTAGGTACGTACCTGAATGGTCATGAATGTGATTTGTCTACAGTCATGAATTACTATAGCAGCTAGCGGGCGCTGTAACAAGCTTTGAAAGTGATACTTAAAAATCAATAAGCATAATTCTATCATATAGCGGTGCTTTATCCAAACTAACTTCAAGGCCAGCTCTAGCAAAACCGAGAAGACAATGTCAAGGGATAGTATGACTTCCGCTATAATGACCCCGGCGAAAAAGGGAAGCAAATGCAAATGGAAACCGCTCGTCGTTAGTAAGAAAAGAACACAAATTTTCAGTCATCTAATTCAATTTTCGGAAATCAATTCGTTCGCAGGGAGTTTTGCTTTCATTGCTTTCAGACGGTCAGACACATCCGGGGATTTCTGAAGGCTAAATACAATGATTCTGCACGCACATGACGTTAAGACTGACTCCACGGATCTTATAGTCCAGGGATCAAGACTTTTACATCAAGCTGATGCCAAAACCAGTCAACGAATGGGAACTTTCGAAGCAGCTCTGCGTATCAGCTGTAGGCTTGCTCTTGGATTATCTACCTTGGAATAGTAGTGGAAAAGCACCTGAAACTTGCTGGTAGCGTACGAGGTAGCAGGCAGGAGTTGGGGGGCTTGAGATTACGTAAGACTTTTGCATGTATTTCTCACATAAGCAGATTAATCTTGACAGACCCACTTTCCCAGTTAGGCCGTGATGACCTCTAATTCCTTCTTTCCGACGATATTAAAAACGATCACCTTTTACAGACAAGGAAACAACGTGTTTTGAACGACGGTCCGTCTTAGGTGATCTCGCGGCTTGCAGCTAGAAAGTGGCTGGTCCACGAATTGTTCTTGCTAATTCCGGAAACTCTGCCTGTTGCCAGCCGTATTATGGCGGGAAATGTAGGTGGATGGTTTTTGATAACATAATATGTATGAAAGGACTGATTTACTTTAGATCGCCCCAAATAGCTATAGTGACCCTGCAACCAGCGAGGCGAACCCGGCGAATACTGAGTATTTTCTCCGAGTACCTAATGGCTTCACTCGGGAACTCACCGACAACCACAGTGGGGTTTCATTGCAAATGTTCCGATCCGAGAAAGATATGAACGAAACACAGTGGAGAGGTGGTGAAAACTTCTTCGACGGTGCGTATACACAGGCTTTGGACTAAATGTATGCATGGTCCAGTGCTGATTGAATATGTAGGCAAGCATGATGATTTCTGCTTCGTGTGTGGAGGTACAATGGAATTATTCGGGTGCCAAACCTGCGAAAACTGCTATCATGCTGAATGCATGACTCCATCACCAGATCCGGACAACCTACCAACGTTTTGGTTTTGTCCCCATTGCGTCGACGATGAATTCCATGTCCCCCCTGTGCCTTCACCTGCCACTTATTTCACACCGATTTCACCTCCACATGTAGGGCAGACCCCCGCCGCAAATATACCAAAGGTATCCCAGCCTATCGAAAAGAGAAATCTAGCAGATCTTACCCCTCTCTCCAATGCACACCAAGTTGCGAATGCAGATACGGAACAGAGCAGGGAGGGCACCAAAAATGGAAGACCGGCAAAGCCCATGGCCGGAGAACCGTCAACATCTGCAAGGTTCAATGCACTAGAGAACATGCAGAGTCGAGGGAAGTCACGCCGGACAAAGCATTCCTTTTCCCCTCCCCGGAAAAAGTCTAAGTATTCTGCCCTTTCTTCTGATGTCGACAAAGCTCTTTCTGTTATCCAACGAGAGCTTGAAAAGGCTGCTCAGATTGGCAGATCGGAAGGAAATCTTGAGGATAAGATTGAAGACCTGGAGCAGAGGTTGAGGATACATGACGGCCAGATGCTCTTGAGTAGTCGAGAACTTGAACTGGCAAAAAAGAATCTTGCAGCTGAGCGCCGCCATTCGGAAACTGTTCGATCTGAGCATGCACATTACAAGGAAGAAGTTGTAAGGCTCAAGGAGGCAGTTGAAAAAAAAGACGCCGAGTTGAGGGAATGGCGGGTGAGACTTAGATCCATGATAGGTGACGAAATGTCGTGAGTACTTGATGTCATCTGCATTCGGCCATCATGGAGTATTCTACGAAGGAACACAAGCAAACACAGCATATCGACTATTCGCGCTAATCTACGCACTTCATCTGATCGAAGACGATCGACCAACAACTCTAATGGATTCTCTGCTTGATCTCTTTCTCAAGGAAGGACTTGCTAGACATCCGGAATCAAGTTTGCTAGCTGTAAGTCTATGAATCCTTCATTATTGTTCTAAATCCCATCAGACATTCAACTCTACTTTCCTCCACAGACCTGCTTCCAGCAATGGACCGACGAAGAAACTCACGTCTATTCAAGTCCTCGGTATACTTCGCTAGAGCAAAGCAGATAAAGACCCAACATCTCCACTTCGACCATTTCGCTCTCTGCCAGCGTTGTTTTGAGCCTCCTCACCAACACGAAAAAGAACTCCGTTGCTGACATCAACTGAAGGGGGATGATGTTGGATACGCATACGAGATCGGTCTTCCATATCTTCCTTTTGGTAATCAATAGCGAACATATATATCATAACCTTGCACTTTCAGACCATGATTGTGAAGCTGAAAGAAGAAAGTAGGGGAAAAGACAAGTCAATGGTAGAAAACCAAGATCTAAGCTTTTTTGCAAAGAAGTCACGTGAGAGGCTAGCTGTGAAGATCAAAAAGCAATATCCCGAAATGGTGATATAGGAGTTGGCAATTAATTTAAGAAGAGAATTTGCACGAGTAGGTACCGAGACAACTCTCCTTTGAAAGACAGGCGCAAGAGAGCATCAGGAAAGATCACGTGTCAATCTAGTCACCAGACTCACCCCTCAGTGACGAATCTTCTGCAAGATTCTCTCAACAAAGTAAAGATAGCCACCTACGTGACTCGCTTTCATGAGTATGAGTATGAGAAACCGGAAGGAGGTTTCCATCGAGTAATTATCGAGTAATTTATCGAGTCAACCGCGAGCGCTAGAATCGTTGACGTTGACTTGACTTAGACGCTTGCGCTAACAAAGTAAGGGCATCAAAAAGATCCGGAACTCGCCTGAGCGGCACACACTACGGATACTGCCTGAACTGCACTCTTCACATGCCACAGTTTGTCTTATATGACCCCCAACGTGATGAATACTTCGAGATATGTACTCTACTAATGTATCAATAGAAAGAACATGCCTCTGGCGCTCCCAAAGAGGCCAACATTATGGCGATGCCGACGAATCCCGAATCCTCAACACCACACCACTCCAGAGCCTCACCGTCTAGCCTTGGGCCTAGCTATAGATAGCCTTTTACTCGATGAAAATTGGTTATAGGCCAGTCAGTGCTCCGCTTCTTGCCTCTAGCAGCCGTTTGAGGTCCCTGAGAGGCTATCAGGTACGGGAGAGATAAGGAGTTGGGATGTGGATGAGGATGCACCCCACAAACAAAGCCCTGGCCCCTGCTATGGCTGCCAGGCCCAGTTCTTTTCTTTACCTGAGCTTATATACCTGCTGTCTATTCTCTCTCTCTTTTGCCTTCTTCTGTTTTCACTCCTGCAACTTTGAACGGCAAAGAAAAGGAATGCGTCGTGTTGTTTCTTTACCAGCCTTCCTATCAGAGCCATAGAATCCTTATCTATCCCACCCCCCACCGTGTTGATAAGCACATTCCACCCCGGATTCTATATATTTATATGCTAGAAAGGCCTCAGTTTGATCTTCTTACCATATTCGAGCTTTATTTTTCATAATCGAAGCATCATACCGTTTACAATGGCTTACATCGACCCCTCGGGGCCGATTCTCGACTCGATACTCTCGCACACCCCACCCTACGACTCGGACATCCCATTTACAGTCCTCGTATCGAGTCGAGCAGTGATTTTCGACGAGGAAAACAACTTGGTGGTCTCACCGGCGACCTTGACTCTCTCTCCCCAAACTGGAACCATTATCTCGATTCTTCCCACCGTTCTCCCTGCCTCGAGTTTTCCTCCAAATACGCAATATATCGACCATACACCCCACCTACTCCTACCAGGTCTGGTCGATGCCCATGTGCATTTGAACGAGCCCGGAAGAACGGAATGGGAGGGTTTCAATACCGGGACAAAAGCTGCTGCTTCGGGTGGTGTAACCACGGTTATTGATATGCCGTTAAATGCCATTCCTCCTACTACAACACTTCACGGATTGAAGGAGAAGATCAAGGCTGCGGAGGGACAATGTTGGGTTGATGTTGGGTTTTATGGTGGGATAATCCCAGGTAATTCTGCGGAGCTGTTACCGCTTGTGCAAGCGGGTGTTCGGGGGTTCAAGGGGTTTTTGATTGAGAGTGGTGTAGGTTTTCCCCTCTTCCTCTGATTTCCACCTACTAAAATTCATTTCTCAGGTCGATGAATTCCCCGCCGTCTCAGCAACAGACGTAGCACTAGCGATGACCACCCTCTCCAATACCCCCACAACCCTCATGTTCCACGCTGAGATGATCCCACCCATAACCGCCTCGGTGGGCGACGACGTTCAGACCTCTCTCCCGCCCCTCTCCCCCTCCGGTCCCCTAACATCCTACTCCACATTCCTATCTTCCCGACCACCGGCTTTCGAGACATACGCCATCGAGGAAATTCTCTCCCTATCACACCTAGCGCCGGATCTACAACTGCACATCGTTCACTTGTCAGCTATCGAAGCTATTCCTTTACTGCGCGCGGCGCGAGAGAGAGGCGTGAAAATCACAGCAGAAACATGTTTCCACTACCTGGCTCTGGCATCAGAGGAAGTGCAGGATGGTGACACGAGACATAAATGCTGCCCCCCAATCCGGAACTCAATAAACCGCGACGGACTCTGGTCCGAACTAGCGAAACCAGATTCAGTTCTCCAGACCATCGTCTCGGACCACAGTCCCTGCACACCCGAACTGAAACTCCTGCCAGAGACCATCAGCCGCTGTTGCGGTGAGGCAGGTGAGGTCAAGGGTGAGGTTAAGGGCGTTAACGGGGAGTTGATAAGCGCAGCAGAAGCGGAGGAGAAAGAAAAGGGCGATTTCTTCGCTTCGTGGGGCGGCATCTCGTCCGTTGGGCTCGGGCTACCTATCCTCTGGACATCTTCTCTCTCCCGCCCCACCCCACTTAGCATCCTCGACGTCGTGCGTCTCTGTGCCATCAACACAGCGGCCCAGGTCGGACTCTCGCACCGCAAAGGCGCGCTGCGCCCGGGCATGGACGCCGATGTGTGTGTGTTTGACGACGCAGCTGAGTGGGTTGTCGGCAGGGAAAGCTTGCTGTTCAGGAATAAAGTTAGTCCGTATCAGGGCCGGCAGATGCGGGGCGTGGTGCGCGAGACGTGGGTAAGGGGTACCAAGGTGTTTGAGAGGGGAATGGGAAATGGCGGATTTGTTGGGAAGGGTGGATTACCGACTGGACGGCTGCTTTTGGAAAGGAGGAAGCTTTAGATGTGATGATGATATGTGCTGGTGAATGATATGTGTGATGATGATGAGGTTTTGGGCATTTGGGAGGTATTGCATACATGCATTATGACGGGATAAGAAAAACGGAATGGTTTCTTAAAGAAACTAATGATCTCCTTCAGCTAGTACTATTTTTTCCCTCGTGAATACGCGTCCCTTTAGTACACAGTATCTCCTCTCAACTGCTCTACTCCACGCTATTCCCTAAATCAGATACCTCACGTCACGTGCACCACGCCTCTCACTCCTTCTTTTCCTTTTCTTCCCTGCCTCGCCCCGCTCCGCTCACCTGCTAAGTGTATATAATCGCCTGTGATCCAACCCAAATATCATTTCCCTCTGTTTATCCTATACTAATGGAGCAACAAAAATTGGCACGCTGCTAGGCTGTGGTATTCCAGTGCAGTCTAGCTTTAGTGTAGTAATCAAAATAGCTGATTAGTGTTATTGTTACAACCTGTATATCTACTTGTATATAGTACATGCAAAATCAGGTCCTACTTGTATCGGATTCCATCCGTCGACCGTTGTTCAGATTTAACAGCAATTCTATACGTGTCAGAAGATTTCCCTGTCTTGTATCTCTAATTCACAGCTATCTATAGATTCTGGTTATATTGATTATTGTTTTTTTTTTTCTTTTGCTTTTTCTTTTCTTGAAGTGGAGGATGGACGAAGGATGGGGAAGGGTGAATGGGTTAAGTGGAATGCGTGGTAGGGAAACTCTTCACTCTTGTGACAGCTCTGTCTATTTTCTTTTTGGTGTATAAATTGTATACTTGAATTTATTATATTACATGTTTTGTGTAGGAAGAAGGCAAGAAGTTCTTATGATTATTCATAAAGCCAATCTTCTAAAAATATAGGGGAAAGAGCACGGCCCTTTACTTCCATTCCTCTCTATGCACGACCGTGGTAATCGCTGTCATTGTCATCACTAACTTCCAGGTCGGTCTCTTCCTCATCGGTATCTGCAGCGAATTGGTCGTCATGATCTCCCCACATCTCTTCCAACATGCGAAACCACCAAGGTATAGGCTCCGCGACCCTCCCTTCCACATTCATAAACCCAAAGTCTTTGTCACACAAACCACATATTCTACACGGAGGACCATGTGAACTCCAGGAATACAACACCCAATTTTCTAAACACTTACGGCCATAGACATGTCCACACGGACAAGCCACAGGCTCCTCGATGTGTCCATCAATATCAGGATCTCCAAAATTGGCCAAACAGAGCGAACACTCTGGAGCATCCTCTGGAACCTGCGCTGGGGTTAAAATCAGATCTAGCCGGGCGACGAGGTTATCTCTTACCTGTGGAAGTCCGAATTCCACCGCATTTAGTTGAGGTATAATGGCAAGACCGACTTTATGCGTGTAATCCGCATTCCGGACTTGAATGTACAGCCATATCTGATCCTTTGTCGGATCCGGGATCTGATGTGTGGTCCACGCCTGCCAGAGGAGCGTGCGGAGCGCTGCGCTCGTGCGTGATAGCCAACTCCCTTCGTACTGGGGTAGAGATCCATAGAAGGGGTGAAAGTTGTCTCTGCAACTCCATACATGATAAGTATCATCTTTTTGGTCGTGGAACGTCGATAGTGGTGTTTCCCGTTCTGGCAGCGCAAGCATTGCTCGTGCTCCGATTAGTTCCCCGAGATGGAGATGATGGAGGCGTAGCTTTCGCACGTCTTCCTCATCTAAGTACGATATGAGGGTTTTTAGTTCTTCGGTAGGCTTGAGGAGGCAAGCGGAGCATAGTCCATGTACGTGGAAGGTCCTGTGTTGGGTTGCTTGGCAGGTGGGGTGGGATATGCAGCGGAATTTTTGGGTGGGCATGATGTCGTTGTGTCCACAAAGTTTGAAAAAAATATCCCATGATCGACACATAGTGATTTGTCGGAAGTATTTTGAATCGGTAGTGGTGTGCTGGTTTGTTGTCCAAGCTTTGATTTTTGGCCAATGACTTGCTTCGAGTCTGAGATGTGTAATGGCCGTAATATCGATAAATATTTATATGTCTGCATAGACGTATTGTTTTCCTTCTAGAACTGGTTACCTGAATTTGTAATATAACTTGTTATTATATTTGAGCCATCTGTTATCTGTATTAAGCTCATTGGTTAGAATACTTCCCCGGTTTTCTTTGTGCAATTGTCATATTGTCTATATAATTTGTTAGAGGGGCAAAGATTGTTAAAGTCTTGTTTTGACTTTAGAGAATGTAATCATACGAGGAGCTTCTAGCATAAGAGCTCTCTTTAATCATCTGTATCTTGAGCTCTGCTGTGTTGCTGCTCGCTTAGACAGGGGGGCACCAAGAAGCTTCCATGAAAGGGGCAATCACGTGGATGAGTCGATTCCGCTTCTTTGATGAAATTCGTACATCCTGGACAGACCTATGCTGTACGATCTATCTTTCAAATGAAAATTATTGCAGGGAGACTTCAATGCAGTCACGTGTAGGGCACTCGCTAACTAGGCTTCAAATATTTCAACGACATCTCACTTATGCCTCATCAACAAAACGCTAAAGAATGTGGTATGCAACAGGTCATTCTACCACAAGTCAATTGCCTTAAGATAGGGGTTTAATGCTTTGTTTTCACCCGCCAAGTCCCTCCAAGCATGAAATTATGCCTGTAGCTCTGAAACAGCGAATAATTCATTGAGCCCTTCGGACCCTTCCTGTTGCTTGCTGCACTCTCGAATCTACACAAATGCATACAAAAATACGGGTACCTACTCTAGAATACCACCCGCGCTTCCTCTTCCACGACCACGCCCATACCTCCGGCCCCGACCTGGTGGCCTGCCTCTACCCCTCGTAGGAGTTCCGCGTTGACTGGTTCTTTCTGGACTGCTTGCTTGGGTTGGGGACCTCCAGACGTTTCCTGGAACGGAAGCAATAGTTCCTTCCATACCAGTTTCTCCTGTATATCGGTTGTACTGTGATGAACGCAATTAGCAGCTGATAGTCTCATATCTTTGGGACCACTTACTCCTCTTCCGGACCGGGTGGTTCGTCCTTCTTTCGGCAATGAGCTCTCGAGGAATATGTTCTGAGCGTATGGTTGGTAGTCTTCAAAACATAAACTGGAACGAAGGGCATACCACCGACTCAGCAGAGGTGGAACTATCTGAGCGATTGTCGGCCGTGGACTTCCTCTTGCGACCTCGCCGGGCCTTTGTTGCGATGACAGTCTCTACAGCGGAGTTTCTGTGATCTTTGTTCTCACAATTGTTGCTCATATTGAAAGTATCACTAGTCATCATGCCGGTGTTGTCTTCCATTCGATCAACGTCGCGAATAGCATATCTCGCGGTACCCTCATTACGCATCGACATGTTGGTGGCTCTGTCCCCCGAAACCTCCCTCTGGGGAAACGCGCTCTGGAATCCATCGTTACGCCGAACTTGAGATGTCGCGCCTAACATCCCCTCATTATAGCTCTCCGTATGCATTCTCTCGCCATAAAACCCTCTGTTGTTGAGACTCCGTGTCCCATTACCAGCGTCCTCGAGGTTGAGACGTTGGAAAAGCTCGGTGTCAAACATCCGCTCGTCTTCGGGATTGTAGTCATCAGCCCCTGTGAAAATAGTGCTTGACAACGATATATTTCGTCGTGCTGGAGCCACGATCGATGGGCGTATTGTGCCTTCCGCGATGTCGGTTGATTCATCTTCAACCTCAGATTCGACCTCTGGATCGGCGATGGATGACGGCTGCTCCTCGATTTCCGCATCATCAGTTGCCACGAATCCTGTATATGAAGTGGGAGTTGAGTTCTCCTCCTCGTCTTCACTTGTTTCGCACAACGGTTTTTGCTCTACCCCTGGGGATGGAACCATATCCAAATTGTAAATCCTCTCTTGTTCAGCTTGTTCCTTCTCCTCGAACTTCTCCCATTTTACTTTGGCTAGCGCATGATCGCCTTTGTACGCGTCCAGCTGCCGAACATGTATTGTAATAGCCTTCCTGATCTTTCCTGATCTCCGGACAATCTCAGCATCAGTATTTTGCCAGGAATCTGCAAAATATTCAAGCATATTGAACAGCAGCTCATTGGTCTTCTCAACCACAGGAATCAGAGAGTCCTTCCAATGCTTCCCATCCTTATGTTTACCAAACCCAGACTCTTTGTATTCTTTTCGGCAATTCACCTCGTCGAGAATTCTCCGTACCTCGAAGATCTCAGTTTTCGTCATGTGTTTCTCAACTTCTCCGGGAGGGTACTCGTACAGCGAGTAGTGCAGATGCTCCGCCACTCTCCGCATAGATACGGGATCTGTGATACACATATTCGCAAAGAACTCCCAGGGTGGCTGAAGTTGTGCTTTAGGCTTCTTCATCCATAATAACCTCGCCAGCTCGTGTTCGGTTTTGAATCTAGTTGCTGACGCCATTTTTTGTTGCTGTGATAATTCTGCCGGCCAGTGTCGCTATGTTTTCTTGGCTGGGTGCTCCGGGTAGCCTTTATTCCTTCCCGTCGAAACCCCTGTTGATACTGTTTGTTCGAGGTGGGTTCAGGTCGTGTTAGTGTTGATGTTGATGTTGTGGCTTGCTGCTCGGACTTCAAACTAACAAGGAATTTATATTCGAAGATACCTTAGTGGGAAAGCTCACGGGGAGACTGGGCAGGAAGTTGACAAAAAACTATTCACTATCACGTTCGGGTACACCCATGGGGAATTGCAGGTAAGTCAGATTCATTATCAGATCCCATTTACTCTTCCTCATGTTATCGGTCTTTGGCAACAAAAAGATCGACGCAATCCAGCCTTTGCCTCTCACAAGCACCGCAAGTTGGTAAGACCTTGTCACACTTAGTATGGGCAATGCGGCAAGAGCGACATTCTGAGCTCAAGGATCCAAGTTAGTGTTTTGTCTTTCAATGTGGAAAAGGCAGTGACGGATAGGTTGGGAATAGATTGGGCCATGAGGGGCATATGTTAGGAAGAGGATCATGCTTCAA